TATTAACTCGATAGTGGACATTGGAGAGTTTGGAGAAGTAGTACAGGAGTACATCCTTTTTTTTAATTAGTAAAAAATGTGTAGTAATATGTAGAGTGGCTCTAAAATATGAAGTGGATAAAATACCACTCTGACACGTGTGTAGATTTTAGTGTCGTTTAATTATTGTGTGTGTTGGTTTTAGTTGAGGCCATTTTTAGTGCCACAAGAAAGTTTGAACAAGAATTTTCTCTTTGTTTTCTTTCATACAACCTATGGTCCCGAACGGATACATGTACCGGCTCCTGGCTGTCTAACTGATTTGCACTGTTAATGAGAAGATGTAGAAAAAAATTCCCAAGAACTTCTTATTAGCATCTTGTAAGGAGGGATGTGAAAGGTGCAAGTATTAATCACAGTAAACTGCTTGTTTATTACAGTGTCATCAGAGGTTAAGAAGAACTGAGAAAGTCTTTACAGTATATTTGTAGCTTGTGAGTCATAAGGGGAAACCTAGGTGATATTGTAAAGAGAATGTGTTTGTGTTAAAGGTTGTCACACCTTCAGTGAGAATACCCCTTCTTTTGTTTTTCTTAGTTAAAGCTGTTACAAGGGGAAGGTGTTGTTGTTTGCTCTGGTTCTTTCTTTTTATTTGCCAAAACAGAAGCGCAGCATGTTCAACTCAGTAAGCATGAAAATATTGGGCTGTTGTTAAAGAGAAATGAGAAAGTAGGAGGATGATCTTCAGTCTTTTGATTGAGTAAAGATACAAATTAAATCTGCGATGAGCCTACAAAAGAAACAAAAGGATATAATGTTAAGAGTCCCAAATCTTATTCACAGAATGGAAGCAGATATTGAAGCCATTGCTGAGCCATGGCATAACATTATTCTCATAAATGATGACAGTGGAGTTGTAGTTCATAACGGTATTGCATATCGAACTTGTTTTCATTTAGACTTCTGTGGGTTTCATCCCCATAAAAGAAGGAAGTGTTTTTACTTGTTTGTTACAAAAAGCCCGTTTCGGCTAAACATATCTGACAGAAAGGCAGCAACAGAGCAAAGACGTGCAGCACCCTGGATAAACAGAGAGGAAGTCTTGTAACTATTAGGTTTCTTTGAAAATATAACTGTTCCGCGACCCACGATACACATCTTGTGTTCAGATCAAATGTAGTTTTAGGAACTAATTAAGACATGTGTTTCTAATACACGAGGAGAAAAACTGCTTATAGGCAAGTTTTCTATCTTAAGATCGCAGCCTAGGTAACCTAAAAACAAGTCCAGGTAATTCAATGCCTGCTGAAACTGCTGCACTCCCTCCAAAACTGTGGTTCAAAGTCAACGTTCAAAGCAAACGGCAAGCTTTGTTTGTAGTGGACTGGCTGCAGAAACACAGAACGGATTTGCCTCCAGTAACCTGGAGCAACGCACTTTTAACACACCGGAGAGGGAGCTACCCGAAATCTTGGTAGTCTGGGCAAGCAAGCTGCCGAAGGCCGTTCTTCTTGCGATGCCCAATGCCAACGGGTTTTTGTTTGTTTTTCTGTGTGCTGTCTTCCAGATGCACAGGGAGGTGGTGTACACGACCAGAGAGGCGCAGCACGCCATGCGTCAAACCATGGGCCCCCCGCCCCCTCATGCCATTCAGAGCCCCCTGCCGCCTCCCAGCCCCCTCTCCATGCCCCCTTCGCCCTCCAGGATCCCCTACGGGCCGCGGGCGATGGTCATGCCCGGAAGTGCCACCGTCCCCAGGGACCGGCTGGCGAGCATCCCGCCCTCCCGGTCCATCTCGCCCTGCCCAAGTGCCATCCTGGAGCGCCGGGACGTCAAGCCCGACGAAGACATGGGCAACAAGAGCGTGGCCCTGGCGCGGGGCGACGGCCTCTACGCGGACCCCTACATGCTCCACGAAGGCCGGCTGAGCATCGCTTCCTCCCACGGGGGCCACGTGGAGGTGGTCGACCACAGCATGGGCTTCCCCCGGGGCTCCATCAGGTCCACCAGCTCGTACGCCAGCTCCGCCATGACCACTGAACTGATGGAGCACCAGACCCTGTACAGGCAGAAGTCCAAGAAATACAGCGACAGCCATCTGCCCACTCTGGGCTCGAAAACCCCCCCTCCCTCCCCTCACCGAATGACTGACGTGAGATTGATGGAAATCCACCCAGCTCAGAACGCCCACGTGCCTCAGACCGTACAGCTGGAGAGGTCTTCTCCAGTCCGGCAATCTTTCAAGAAGGATGCAGGCGGCTCGGTAGCTGTGGAGACTGTAACCAAGACACGGAGCAACATGGCTTCTCCCGTTGTTCCCGATATCCCCCTGGCACATGGGGATAAACCGCTCCTGGGACACGGGGCGCCTGCATCACCCAGCGACCCTCAGACCAGGTAAGCTTGATGTCAGGCTTTCGCTTCCTGAAGAGGCCAGCGGTTCTTTCTTTAATTCTCAAGGTTGTCTTTTGTTACGCACTTACACTTCTATGTTTTTTTAATCCCCACTCAACTTCAGATTTACTGACACCCTGGGGGAACGTTACTTTATCTCTTCTGCCTGTGCTCATTCAGCTGTAAAACTTTCCCCATCTCAATAAAATGGGTTATCTCCGGGATAACCTTCAAAAGGATTTCAGATCTCCACGGTTGCCAAAATAGGCATCAAGTGCTGAAAAGCTCCTCTGCCCTCTATTTCCACATAATCTTCTTGTATATAATAGCATCATTTGTCTTTTGCAGTATGCCCTTTTGCCACTCTTTATTCAAGAGGTTGGCTTTATCATCCTTGTGTTTTTGAAAGGTTTTTTTCAGCCATGGTGCTTTATTTAACTCAAGGGCAGAACAAATATTGATAGTAAATGTTATGAAAAAGGCATCCCAGCTAGAAAATCAGAAGTTCTTTTATTGAATTGTATATCAGGAGGGGCATACAGCTGCCAAGCTCTCATGAACAGCTAAGAAAAAATTGACGCTACGTACCTCTTGGGAAAATGTAAATCTGGGTGAATTAGTTCTGAGAGCTGAAGAATAGAGGGGAAAAAGCAAAACCGACAATATTTCTACTAGAACTATCTTAACAAACTCTTTGCGTGCATAAAACCATAGCTTGTTAATGCCTGACAAGGAGTTATGCAGTTAACTACCTAAAACTAATGTAAAATCTTCATATTTACAGGTTGGTGATTGTAAATCAGAACTAAAGACAGACCGCTTGAACAGTCTGACCCCCGAATGCGTAAGAATGTAATTTGCAGAAAGTGAACTTTACATTAGCAGGTAGTTAAATAGAACAGTTCAGCCAACAAAACGATTTCTGCTGTGTTTGAATGACGAGCAGGCGTGCAGTTTCAGGGGGAGGAAGGCAGTGTGCGGTGAGCTGTTCAAAGTCTCGAAGACAAGTCGCCAGCCCAGAAGGGCGTGTTCTTTAGAGTGTTTAATTCTATTTCGGTGAACGTCAGAACAAAGAAACGACTGTTGTACCCGAAGGCTTTCCGTCGCTGGTAGTTAAACCAGGTAGAAAAGAGAAAATTCTTTAAAAATCCTACGTCAGATTTTCTTGCCTATCCTTCCAAAAGGCCACTTCGTTCTTTGAAGTTTCGATAACAGGTTGCGCAGTAATGAAAGGAGGAAAGCTTCTGCCAGCATAACCATAGTTCAGTGATTCCATAAAACTGTCTTATGGAGTAACTATTATGAAGTGCGGCAGCAAATTTTGTTTTGTATTAGACTGATCACCAGCTTTATATGAACTGGGGAAGTTTTTGTATTTTGATTCAAGGAAGTCATTAGGTCGGGACTTGTGTCTAGATTTTCCTGATGATTGTAGAAATGACAGTAGAAATGAAATTTAGCTCTACCTTCATTTATATTAAATTCTGCACAATTATGAGTGTCTAGTAAGGGAGGAATAGATCAGGCGTGGCTACCTGTTGATCTTAACCCATGGTGCACTTGGTGTTTTTTTTACAAGAGTTGTTATCTGTAATCGCATTTCCTGATAAATTTTCCATTGAACTTGAATCCATGCTGTCATTCAGACATGTTTTAATTTAAATACTGGAAGAAGTGAAGTGAAAACTGAGGTCTTGCATCCTAGAGACTCACTTCTTAATGCGATGCGGAACAAGTCTGTTTAAGGAAGTGAGCTGGTTAATGTAGCGCTTGTTCTTTACATATTTTGACAATCTTATATTGCACTTGTATGCTATCTACGTTGTAGAAGATATGTATGATTTTTGTTATCAGTATTTTGTTTTATTCCCTTGTGGGAACAGTGTGCTTTAAATTTGTCCATTGTTGGTTTTGATTTTAATGCCCAGCCTGGATCAATTAATATTGAGAATTTTCATGTATTCCTGAACTCCAATAATAATAATTTCTTTTTAATTAATTCTGCAGTTAAATTAATTGTTTGTGTAATTATGATCTGTATCTTTCTGATTGCAGAATAATATTAAAAGTAATAAACCTAAAACTCACAGACTTTCAGGTCTGCTGCTCTGTACAAGCCTTAGGTCCTATCAGCTTCCATCGCTGTAAATTGAAAAAAACATAGAGATTATGGGTTTCAGTGTAGAAAATGCATATAAGTAATGAGGAATAATAATAATGAGGAAAGCAAGAAAACTGCATCGTATAATTTACAGTCTGCTTTTTCTGTGGCGAGATGCAAGTCCCCTGATATTATGTTAATGAAATTCATGAGCCTTTTCACTTCTAATTTAACAGCGGCAAAGTGGATGGTGTATGTACCCAATACTGGCTGAGTTTAAATAGTTAGAAATGTAACTGTGAGCTTATTGGGGTTATTACTTCTAGGTTCATTATCGGCACAACAGTTTGAGTGTGATGTGTGTAATCCATCACCTTTTTCGTAACTATTAAAAGTTCTGAAGGTGGCTTCTTTCGTTTAAAACAAATTACCTTATTTGAGTTTTTAATCTAGTAAGCGTCGTAATTCAAGAAAGCTGGTCTGATTAAGATTTAAGACTTTCTCAGGTCCTTAATTGCATTATTATGAATCATGTGTTTTTTTGTATTCTTTGCATATAAAAATGTCTCTTGCATATTGTTTTTTCCGCTAAAAAAGCACAAGGAAATGTGTTGTTGTGTCCCTTTTTTCTTGATATCAGTCACTGACAGGCATCGCTTGTGCACAATCAGCAGTCTGAGTAAATAGAACTATTGCCACACTTTAAGAGGCTAGCTGTTACAATGCAGCCATCAGGACACAAACCCTTTAATTCCCCAAACTCTTAAAAATCGACAGCAGTCTGTTGTGTGCCCGGAGCTGAGGTGGCAGACAGGGAGTGATCTCATGACTGTTGTTCATTTTGGCACATTATTGGCATAAAGCACACACTGTTCAAACAAAACCCTATCAAAGACCTTGGGGGGGGGGGAACCTAAACAATAGGACCATATCTTTGGTTTTCTTAGAGATCTTGTCCGCACCTTACAAGGGAAATTGTAATCCAATCCAGCGAAGAACATCTAGATATATGAAAATAATAATGTCCTACCATGACAGGCTAAAGACACTGAATCTTAAGTCTTGGGCACAGAAGAATACAGGGGAAAGAAAATAACAAAAGCAGCAGGGAAACACTAGTATGAGGTCACAGTTGGAAATAAAGAAGCACTTTCAAAATAGAGAACAGGAGATATTTATACACTAAGAGTTGTGAGAGTTTGGAACAGACTACCCAGCCTCAGATCTTTCCACAAGTCGGTTATCTACCAGCAAGCGAGCAAACTGAATGGACTGAATGGCTCTTTCTCGTTTGTCACGTTTCACATTTTTTTTCAAATGTTTTTATTAATCGCTCAAACTCTTTTTTTATTTCAAAATCATTTATGTTGTTATATTTGGAAAAAATGGGCTATTGGTAAATAGCAGCATTTAATTTATTTTTAAAAAGGTTGTTGGCAAAAAAATGATTAGAGAATTAATTGAAATGTTTAATGTAAATGTTAAAGATCACTAATGACTTATGGAAGGTCTGTCAAAAACCTTTGAGATGTAACTCCTGCGAGCAAACTGTCCAGTTTGAATGTTCAAGAAAGCATTTTTCTTACAGTTTTCCACACATACAGTATATTTTGAATCATTTTCAGTTTTTGCACAGTAACTGTTAAATAAGTGTCTAAAAGTCTTCTTATCTTAGAAAATGTAAACAATGTTATACTTTCAAGGTTTTCTGTACTTCAAAGCCTTCTTCAGGTTGACAACAATCATAAAATATGAAGGAGTCTGGATTTCTCTCAATGATGTGTGGTTTATGATGAAAGTAGGCTGAATAAGAACCTTGCTAAGACAAATGTTTTTTAATGTCTTCCGCAGAGAGCGAATGAAGGCCATGGAGCAGCAGATCGCTAGCTTGACGGGGCTTGTTCAACACGCACTTTTTAAGGGGCCAAATACAAGTGGTGCCAAGGACCCTGTCAGGTGAGCGAGAGCCGAGCATCGTGGGAGAGATGAGGCACACCTCCCAGGGAAGAGAGACTCATAATGACACCAGATAAATTAGGTGCTTTGTATCAGCTCTGCCTACCAGAGAAAAACGTTATCTAACTGGAAGGCAACATACAGTATAGGTTGTGGAAAATATGCTCATGAAAGCGTTTTGTGTAAGTACGGCAGCAGTGCTCTTATATTTTGGAACATTTAGATGAGGGGGTTTAGGGTTCCTAAGCAGTTGAATTAAGGTATTTTTTTCAATTGCCAGGAAAAAATATTTGGTGATAAGATTCAGCTTTGCAGTGTTATGTAAATTATACTGTATACGCTTATGATGCTGAGCTTTTACATATTTCCACTCATCTTTAAAAATACATAAAGTAACAACACGTATAAACTCTGAATTTGGTTAACTTTTGAAAACTTTAAAACTAATTGGTATGTTTGTCGCTGTTTTCATACATTTATTTGTTCAGATTTCTTTTGAGTGTTTTATTTCCTATTCTATTTTTTATTCAGATCAGTCTCTTCCTGTGGTGCTCTGTGTGCTCTGTTATGTTGGTTATCTACATGATTTATTCACATTCACTTCAAAACATGCTCATCTTTCATTTGTTTAGATATGTTCATCTTTTCTTTCTCAACCCCTCCTCAGTAAACTCATTTTAGGTTGCTTTTTTCTGTCGGTGTCTAATTATTGAGTGGATTTCTGGTGTGCTTGGCTGCACGTTATAATATAAATACAGTTGCTTCCAGTTCAGGATCGAGCCACAATCATGGTTTAACTTTTTCAGGAGTGTTATTTGTGTTTGGAAGCTCATGTTGAATAGCTTGGAAGCAGTAGCATCAAGATCTTCATCCCTTGAAGTACTGTGAGATGGAATGTGATCGATTCTTCCTGTGATCTCATTTCAGTGAGAAACCAGCGAGCACAGCCTCTCCAGGCCATAATGGGAGCAGTGGAGGTGAGAAGCTGTATGGTTGTTTTCTTTTTTGTCCGTCTTAATGCGAGGAGTCTGATAGAGTTCATGAGGATAAGGCCACAGCAGGTTCCAAGGCGTTGGTAAGATTTATCCGCAGATCTGACAGCCGATGAGTTGGTAAACACTAGCATAGTAAACAGTTTCACCCTTACTGAGACATTAATGGACCACTTATTTTTCTAGTGTACATTTCTCTTATTTTTGTAAGACAGACATTAAATTAAAAAAGCGTATTACGTTTATCCTTAGGGTATGAATCTGTGTTTGGATCTGTGTCAAAAGTGGTTGAGCTTGTCTTGCCTGTTAAGTGTTTTTTTTTTTTTTTAATGACGTTATGAAACTCTACTATTTGAATCCAATTTAGATGTTTACCATGTCAGGAAAGCAGACTTGGAAAGACTGAGGCAGAGCTTAAGAGCAGCATAAGGGAGAAGGTAGATATGGGATCAGCAGGACAGAAACAGTTTATACAGATTCTGTTTGAAGCACCATGCTTTACCATGCTTTACCATGGTGAGTAATGCAAAAGTTAAAACCACTATCTCAGATGGTTTGACAGATCAATTAGGATGAATATAAGGGAGATGAAGGAATTTAAAAAAATGTTAAAAACTCCAGAGTCTAGTTAAGGAAGGATTATATTAGAAAGGCAATATAATTGAGAAGGAAAGGATATACTGTAAGAGAGAAGGAAAGGAATATTGCAGTGAAGGCTGGAATGAAGGTTATTCCATTACTTCAAAAGTAGCAGAACCATTAAGGATTAAGAAAACTGTGTCTGGTACAATAATAGGCAACCTCAAGGCAATGACAGTGTCATTGTCAAAGAGAGATGCGAAGTTCCTCATAGTGTTAAATAGTGTTCATCATAAATAGTGTTAAATAGAAGCACTTGATTAGCAAACTTCTGGTGTCCTAACTGATGTACTCAAAGAAACTAGAAGTGTGCTTCAGCCTCTGGTGCAACTCTCCCAACTGGCTCAGGACAGGGGTGGTGCCCAGGGACTGGAGAATTGCTGATGTAGTAGTTATCCATGAATTGGTGACAAAACAGGATCAGTTATATACCGGCAGTTCTGCTTTTGGTTAAGAGTAAGGTGATGGAAAACAATTGTAAACAATCATCTGTAATAAAATAACATCCTGGGGAAAATTCAGAAAATGAAGGTTGTCAAGCGGCTAGGCAACTTGTTAGATTTCTGGACACACAGAGTAATGGACAGTAATGGACACACACAGGGCATCCGATATGCTGTCTTTAAATTTTCAGAGGGCTTTTGTTTGACATTCCTCATTAAATGCAGGAAAGTATTCCTCGAAATGCAGGCAGTATGCATTTGGGGAAATACTGGGGACTGAATGCTCAAAATGGGTTGATGTAATTAGTGAACCACAGGGATCAGAACTGGGACCACTATACTTCCTAATTAATATGAATGATCTACATTCTGATATAGTGTAGATAGTAGCCTAGTTAAGACTGGAGATACAACAGGAGGATGAGCAAAACATATAGAAGCAGCAGATGAAAATAAAATAGACTTGGGTTAAATTCAAGACGGGGCAAACACCCAACTGGTGACATTTAATATAGACAGGTGATAAGTGCTACATGTACATGCAGGTAGCAAAAACACCAGCTAATCTGAAGTTTGAGTTTGAAGAGTCCTCCTGTCAAAAAGACTAATGTGTCAATGTTGACACTTCATGTACATCTAGACAATGTGGGGAGGGATTAAAAAAGGCAAACAAAATGCTAGGGTATATAATTAAAGGCAAAGAACTGAAATCAAAGGATGTTATGTTAAAATTGTAAAGTTCACTGGTAAGACTTCACTTAGAATATTGTGTACAGTTTTGTTCACCGCATCAAAAAAAGATTGCTGGATATGTTCTGGGGCTTAAGGGAGTGTCCTACACTGACAGGCAGAACAAACAGAACCTTACTAGTTTTGAACCGAGGAACTTAAGATGGGACCTGTTCCAAGTATTTAGAATAAACAGCGAAAAATCAAGCAGAGGGCACATGTGGAAACTGCCTGGAAGTGCATTTAAACCAAGAACAGGAGAAACCTCTTTACAGCACTAGGGTGGAGGGAGTGTGGAAAAGGCTACCCAGCCCTTCTGTTGAAGCCAATACTTTGGTTTCTTTCAAGGAAGTGCTTAGATTAATGAGTCACTAAGTAGAACACAGGCTAACACAGACAGAGCGGCCCGCACCCCTTTGTCTTCTACTTAAGGGCGGAGTGCCTGTGGCTGGAAGGTTGCCGGTTCAAATCCCGCGGCCGGCACAGGAATCCTACTCCATTAGGCCCCTGAGCAAGGCCCTTAACCTCATCTGCTCCAGGGGCGCCGTATAAATGGCTGTCCCTGCGCTCTGACCCCAAGCTTCTCTCCCTGTCTCTGTGTCTCATGGAGAGCAAGCTGGGGTATGTGAAAAGACAAATTCCTAATGCAAGAAATTCTATAGGGCTAATAAATCGATCTCTTAAGCGACGGGAGAAGCTGTCGAAGATCAATTTTTGAGTTTGCCAATGAAAGAATTCAACCATTATTTTTCCATTGCGACACCATCCAGCCCCGACGCCACACAGTGTGGGGTGAGCTGCTGTGGCGGACCCTCAGGGAGAAAAGGGGCGGAGCGGTGGCTCTGTGGTTAAGGATCTGCGCCTGTGACCGGAAGGTTGCCGGTTCAAATCCCGCAGCCGGCAGAGGAATCCTACTCCGTTGGGCCCCTGAGCAAGGCCCTTAACCCTAACTGCTCCAGGGGCGCCGTACAATGGCAGACCCTGCGCTCTGACCCCAAGCTTCTCTCCCTGTCTGTGTGTCTGTGTCTCCATAGAGAAAAGCTGGGGTATGCGAAAAGACGCATTCCTAATGCAAGAAATTGTGTAGGGCTAATAAAGAAACATTATTAACATTATTATTAACATTATTAAATCACTGGGTTGCGTCGTTGTGACTGTGGGAGGCTGAGGCCTGATCCGCACCAGCCTCTTGTCACGCATGTTGTGTTCAGTGTCGTGATCTACACAGGCAGAGTGAGCTGCACGGCACAGCACTTATAAAGCAATTTTTTCTTCACACCATCCTGATATCATGTCCCACAGGCGTCGCTAAGGGGGGGCATTAGGGGGGCAGTGCCTCCCCCCAAAGAAGTTTCTAATAAAGTGGTGAAAAAAAGGTTTTCGTCTATTGTTTTTAGAAATATTGAAAAATATTTATGTAAGTAACATTTTTTTTGCATAAAATTTTCTTTTTCTGTCATTTCTGATGACACATTTGAGGTTTTGGTACGGGATTTATAACGCAACATACAAGGCGGTTTTGTAGCCAGAAATTGTTTAATCTCATTTTGTTAATCAGAAGGCTAACAGTAGTCTAAATAATGGATATGAAAAAGGGCCATCTTCAGTCACCACCAAAGGGGTGTATTTGCTGAAGTACATTTGACTTTGCCTCCTATATTGTAGCATTAATTAGGTAACTATCATCTGTAGAGTCACGTGTCTCAAAATGGCGCTCAAACCCAGCCCCCCCAGTTAAAATCAAATGCCCACCCGTTTGAATTGTTCTGGCGACGGCCCTGTCATGTCCCAGTGCTACCCCAAACAAAAATTCGTAGGACGCTTGCAGGGGTGCTGACAAGCCCAAATGCCACCCGTTACGCCGAGCTGTCATTTGAAACCCAGTGGCTGAAGTGCTTGACCAGTTGAGGGGGTCAGGGGTCAGATAAACAATGCGGTGTCAGATTTCCTGTTTGCCTTCAGTGAAAAGTTCAGGTCCTGAATCATTATGAAGATGGGCACAGCAAAGCCTTTTGCTGAAGTGGAAACGTACACAGAGCTCAAACAACAAGAAAGATAAGATCATAAAGCCGATTCTCCTGCTGTCAGTATACAGCTTCAGTACACAGGTTCAGCATGTAATGAACCTCATGGCAGTGACCTAGTGGAATTAAAATCTAGTTTTATGCATTAAACAGCTTAATCTGTTGTATAGTTCCTGAATGTTGTTTTTTTTTTTTTAATTTTGCATTTTGGTCGTTGTTTGTGCGAAGATGAGGCTGAGGAGCCTGTGTTGTTGAGCACTAAGCAGCAGAACAATTACACTGTGTAACACAGTGTAACACAAGCTGAGTGTACATGTGTCAGAAGCAGTGTACTCCTAGCTTTTACTTTTCCTTTCAGCTTCACACGTGATCTCTTCATCCCTACATTCTGCAGGCAAAAGTGCTCAGAAATCAGTCCTCTAAACAATAAATACCGTCTGTTCAGAATCTCCGGTAATCAGTCTCAAAATGATTCGGAGGATTAGCATTAGGAAGGGTCAGTTCCTGTCTCATTTACGCATTGCAATGCTCCTGGTTTGCAGCCACAAAAACCGAAGAACCAGAAGCGTCAAAATACACTGCAGCATTCTGGGTCAATAGACTGCCGTCTTGTGTGACAGGAGATGGATTAGCAGTTCAAAAAATAGAAAAAATGCAATTAACACTTGGATTATGCTAATTAATTGCTTAGTTTAGACAGGAAATTATTTTCAGAATCACTGCAATCAAAGTTCACAGGACCTTCTTTGCATGAGCAGTTGTTTTGCTTGATCTGTAAGGACAACAAATTTATATGCAAAGAGATCTCTCTGGTGAGACTAAACCATTATAATCAGATCTGATTTTAATTTTGTACAAAATAGAAAAATGATATAGCCTTTCCTTCCTTATGTGCTCTCTCTCTTACCTCAAGTTTATTTAGTAGTGATACAGCCTTTTATTTTTTTTTAGCTATTTAAATGGGGATTGCATTTTCTTGTCAAATGATTTGCTTGTTTTGCACATTTGATATTTGCATTTGCAAACTATTTAGGATTTAGTTGATTTTTTAATTTAGTTTGGATTCTTAGCTGATGTGATTGACGTGGAAGCAGAAACTTTTAAAAAGAGATAATATGCATGTATTATTTTTTTAGCCGACTTACACTATGTAAATCCTGTTGTGCTCTGTCTTCTTAGACCCTGTGTATACTGTGTCTGTGTCATTATCTATGTAGTTATTTCTTGTTTTGTTGGCCAGAAAGTATTCCAAAGGTAAATAACATGTCCTTCATTCTTGAAACCAATTGAATTATGCTGACTCAGTTTTAATTGAGCATTCTGGCAGCACTTTCAAGCGTCTGTTTTATTAAACTCCCTTAGAGAATTTGCAGCATGCACACATCCTTTGTATAAACATGAAGGATTGTTAGGTCAAATCACACAGTGAGCTCTAGGAATGTTGTTTTTGAGCTATTTTTGCACTTTGTACAAATGCATGATGCAGTGAAAGATAAAAAATAAGTTGTTTTGTAAGCATGTGGTCATTTTGTTCTGTTTTCTGTTCATCATAGTGGCATGACACATACTGTAGCTGAGAAAAATGTCAGGGGCAGTATGATGTGATGTGCTCTGATTAGTGTTTTGTGGTGCCCATCACGTATGGCTGCCAGTGAAATTTGCTGTGTTCACCGGGAAAGAACTTGTTTTATAATGAGATGTTTCTAATGCCTGTAGGATCTCCAGGCACTAGTTCTTAACGTGTAAGGGACCCCTGATTTACAGAATTAATTTTCCTTTTTCTTTACTAAGGGCCATTTCCTTCTGTTCTAGACAGCACTTCTTCTGGCTCCAGCAGGAAAGGTGTTAAAGAAATCACATTCAGGACAGTTTACTCTGTTGGTGACTAAATTCAGGATATGGATTTACAGTCTTTCTCGCCAGCTTCAAGATGTTATCGCTATCCGGTCCCGACACACATCCCGTTTGATGCCATGTTGGAGTTGAAATACGATTGGCCACTTACAATTCACCAACAAAACCTCTCTAATGACGGTCATCTCCCTACAGGAGGTTCTAGTGCACCATCAGCCAAGAGCACTGTGAGTGGAGTGGAGGCCACAGCCCTGGCCGGCCTCCCTGCCCCCAGCAGCCCCACACCGGTTCAAGTGAATCTCATCAGTTTCCGAAAGAATGTCTCGGACCTCCGACTGCAGCTTCACCAGATGAAGCAGCTGCAGGTATCTTCTTGCTCTTTCGTTGTGGGTGCGCGTCCCACCCCCTTTGAGAGTGTGTGTTCTCTCCAATTCATATGCCCTGCATACAGGGTAGCGGACTGAAATGCTCAAAAAAATTATTTAAAAGTTGTGGTGGGTACTGAAGAAATACACAAACTTTTAACAAAGTTAAATTAACACACGTATTGAAGCGGAACTAAGTCATTTGCTGGCATTCAAGTAAATTCACTACTACTCTTGGCCAGTCTCTCCTGAGTTTCTAAAAGACAAGTTAAAAACATAGAATAATATGTGCACATTCCCAGCTTGAACTCCGAATCGAGGTCATTAATCTCCATAGTGCCATTAAACTAGCTGCTGCTTTGTGCTACACATACAGTACATTAAATATATAATCAAAGGGGGTGAGTGTGAATGGATATTTTTGGGGTTTTTAGTGTCACCAGTGATTTATTATGTTCACTCCTAGCTGTAGGTTTGGCAGCAAAATGTTATTAGAGCTGTTCTGAAGAGTTAGCCATTTCATTTTGCACCATGAAAAGCCTGTGTGAATTTTAACTAGATCCCAGAGTTAATTAGAAACAGTAATAATTAAATTAGACAGATTGCCTGAAGTTTGAATTTGAGACTTCCCCCCTCACGAAATGGTTAATTTCTCAATTTTAACTATAAATGTCCTCTGTTTGGATGTTAAATTATGCTTACACGCAGCTATTTAGATTCTGTATCAGTGTAATACCTGGGTTTCCAGCTGGCTGATTTAGCTTATCCAGTGATCTGTAAAAGAATTTCAAACTGGCTCTTCCATGGTTTTGACAGCTCCTTTCCTGCCATTCATGATCAATTATGCTGGCTTTTATCAGGCTGGATCGATTGTTCTTAATAAAAGTGACACTGGCAAATCATTAGTGCACTTAAAACTGAAATATTAAATTGCCTATTTATGTATAGTAGATAATTATCTAAGGGACTTATTCGGTAAATAATTAGTCATTTATAAACGGGGGGCGAATGCTGGTGAATGAGAACATAATGGGCTATGTATTGTATACAGTAGCAGATCTGAAGTAAGAATAATGATAAAATCTATTTTTATATAGCGCCTTTAAAAATGGCTTCTTAAAGTGCATTACGGAAAAAGAATCCACACAGTGGAGGGAGGAAGCAGAATGAAACAGAGCAAGGGTTCGGAGTACAGAAGGAAAGCAATGGGCAGACTGAGGACCTCTTAAATAAAGGCCCTTCGCAAGAAGAAGGTTTTACAGGGGAACTACAAGGCTTTTTTTTATTTTAGGGTTATCAGCATTGATAAGTGCATGTCAAACCACAATAGACGTAAAACGTACACAGTCATTTGTAAAACTTCCGATTTACACGACGGAGACGAAATTTCCTGGTTCATGCAGCTCCATGTTCTGTGACTCAGGAGGAAGCAACAAAACATCCGGTAAATTTCAAGGTGGTTCTGCGGACAAATCCTACTTGTTAACACTGCATGCAGATCACACTGGCCCATTTCTGCCTATGAATTAGTCAATACGGTGACTAGTGAGCAGGAAGGGCTGCATCACACCACAATTTGTGGGAACTGAAATGTGAGTTTTCGTCCACATGGTGACTTGCGGTGCTTTCCCAAAATTCACCATTTTGTACTTAATTCAAAATGTGTCAATCTTTTAGTATTATAAAAACATACCAAGGCATTACATTTTGTTACCAAGATGTAATAACGGGTCTGAGAAATTGGGACTGCAGTTCCCCTTTAAATGTGAAGGTTTGAGAGAGCTCGGGGACGTTGAGCTAAGACGGGGGGGAACCCGATCTGTGTGCCGCAGCTGCAGAACCAGGAGGCCCTCCGGGCGATGCTGAAGAGGGCCGAGCAGGAGATCGGCGCCAGGCTGGCCGAGACCCTGAAGCGGCATGAGGACCCCGTGCAGAGACAGAGGGTGCTGGTGGAGGAGGAGAGGCAGTCGTACCTGGGCATGGAGGAGAGGATTCTCGGCCAGCTCTGGTAAAGGCCTCCGGCTCCCGAAACGCGAGCGCGCTTGGCCTCCCCCGTCACTGAGCAGAGACGTCTGGAATTACTGTTCGTTAATCCCTTTGTTTTACAAACCAGGCTAGACTGCAGTTCAGACTGACATTCACACGTCAGAGGAATCACTGGTACATTGAGTAATCCGCGAACACAGTAGACCTGCTTTTTGGGAATTGGGGCAGGAGGAGGTTTAAATCGGATGTTTTTTTTATTGGTATTTAGATGGGTCGTCACCAGCTTTGCCACTCCTGTTCAGAAGAATGTTAATGGGCGCTGTTAGTCGTTGGATTAGCTCCTCTTCCGCAGGAATGCGGCTCTAAGAAAACCACACCTTAAGTGCTGAGGTGGACTCACCTTCTTGGGCTCGGAGTAGCACACTGCCTTTGAACTTCCTCGGTTCAAAGTTTATTAAAGAGACTAGCGCGTGACAGCTCCCATTACCTGACCCTTTAACACTCCTCTCACTCATCCGGGAGCAGAACAATAGGCCTTCGAGTCCCCCAGAGTGTAGCAGAAAAGCATTTATAAGGAATCTAGCATGACTGAAAAATGCCATCTTTCCTTTTAATATGAGTATAAAGCTATTTTATTATTGCCTCACTAGCATAAACCTATTTTGGTACAGTCATTGTGGAAAGGGACAACTCTTTTATGGTACAAAAAGGAAAATTTGGAAGCTTCAGTTAGTTTTGCTTAGGACTCCACATGTCTAGGAGTGATACTCTCTGTTTGAGTGCGTCTCTGCTAATAAGGTCATTCTGCCCTTTTGAAAGAATGTGTCTATTATTCTATACATTGTCATTTTTACTTGCATACTCAACTTTCAGCATTTACCCTTTTTCCTTTGATCTCTCGCAGTGCCATCCACAGCCCCATAGTTATTTGATCTTCTGTATCTTTTTTTCATTTTTTCTCCTCCCCTTGTTTTTGTCCAGAAATTAAACCGTCTGCTTGTTTCTGTCAAAACCTCTTGTGCTTTGTCCTGACTCCTGCTGAACACGCAGGCATGCTTGTTGGCATATAAAAACATATTTTTATGTTACAATTTATTTACCGATTTATATTGAACATAGAGTATACTCTGAAACTATAAGATTTAAAGCGATATACTGTACTGTAGCACGGTTGCTACTTCTGAAGGTAAGATATCTAACCAGGACCAATTAAATTAGTTGCTTTATCACTGCAACTTAACCAAAATGAACACTTGTAGCATGAGTTGGATAGATGCACATCAACATACACTCACTGATTATGACATTCCTGTGATGTATGTTCAGGATTTCTCTTAGTCTGTACCTGAAAATACATGTATACCTTTCCAATCATTTACTGCTTATTATAGATTTGGGCTTTCTGAAGTCTGAAAGTTCTGAAATCGAAAGACCAGAAATAACTTAAACTGTTAAATGTCTGGATTTGTATTATATTAAAAGCTTAAAACAACAAATGCATTCATTTTAATGCACTTAAGAGTACAGTACCTAACTGCAAAAAGCAAAGCTATTCCCAAGAAAAGCAAGCTTTTTTGATATCTCTCTGCTTTTTGATCATGATCAATTACATTACACCATAGAATCAATTATATGAAATAACAAACAATTGTGATCTCTCTGCACCATAATGAATTTGTCATTTTTACTACAAGTTCCAGAGTTTATTGCTGTTACATGAAATTCAGCAGGAATTTGAAACTTCACAGGAATCCAGTATCTTTCCAGGGGTTCTGCCATTTTAAAGCAGCTTTAACTGAGCTTTTAACTCAATGGTGAGGTGAAGAAGATGATACAGAAGATCAAATAAGAATTGTTTAATCTACTCTGCATCCGGAACTCAAAATAACAACCTCTTAATTGCCCATTAATTCCTTTGTTAAACGAGCTAGTTTAAACGACAGTTCCTGTTGACATGTACCACATGTCAGGGATTTCCATTTAAATATTGTAATAAGTATTTTGAACACAGTAGACCTGCTTTTGGGGAATTAGGGCGCTGGGAGGTTTTAATCAGATGTTTTTTTTATTGGTATTTGGCCAAAGCATTATCACTGTGCTGCTCCTATTCAGAAGAATGTTAATGAGCCCTGTTAGTCTTGGGATTAGTGCTTCATCTGCAGGAATGTGGCTCCAGCACTACCACACCTTGAAGAGCTGAGGTGGGCCATTGTGCTGGTTTGTATTGCCACGCGATTCCTGCTGTGCCCCCAACTTTAGACCTCAATGCCTTAATTATGAGGCAGTCAAGTGTGGGAATCTTCCCCCAATCCATCTAGATTTAACCTGGAACATTTGTCACCATTCCATATCTTTTTTTTTTTACAGTGCTATGAAAAGCACAGACATAGATCTAGACAGATTAGGAGTTTGTTTTAAACAAAGGAAAAGCGTGCACTAGAATTCTGTAAATCCAAATGCACAGTGTTTTGTGTACTTGCTGCTTTCATTAGATTTGACAGATTTAACTATGCTGTTTAATATCACAAGAGGGATACTGTTATAAAGACATGTAATCGCTTGTTTTGGAATTTATAATATCTAACAGGAGCCGTTAGGACAGAGGCCTCTTTTGTTTTGTTACCTCCACCTGTTCATTTGCTGTGTTTTTGCACTATAAATTATAAAAGTAGAAAGTTTTTAACTTTGTTTAAACAGGCATGTCTTGGTATCTGGCTATTTAAAAAGGATTGAATTGAAAATTCAGTGAACCAGTCCGACCTGTTTCCATTGTGTGGCCTTTGGAATTTTCCCAGCCTGCGAGGAAGCTGTGCAGATTTGAAGGAAATCTCATTTTTTTTCTCTTAGAAAAAGTCTTAAAGACATAAAATACATTTTTAACCAGATGTATTGTGATTAAAGTTAAAGCTCAAATAAGCCTAATGCTATCTCAGGTATAAGCTTAGTTTTATACAAACACACAACTAAGTAAAGAATACATTTTTACTAAAGGTTTTTTACAGATAGTACTTAACATGATCAGCAGCTGTACCTTAACATGATCAGCAGCTGTACCTTTTGTATGCCCTTCAAATTAGTTCAACTTCAATCTGTTTTGATAAAGATTAATATAATAATCACCGCGGTGCTGTGGCTCTGTGTCTTAGGATCTGTGCCTGTGGCTGATAGGTTGCCAGTTTGTATCCTGTGGCCGGCAGGGGAATCCTACTCTATTGGGCCCCTGAGCAAGGCCCTTCACCCCAACTGCTCCAGGGGCTGACCCTGCGCTCTGACCCCAAGCTTCTCTCTCCCTGTCTGTGTGTCTCATGGAGAGCAAGCTGGAGTATGCGAAAAGACAAATTCCTAATGCAGAAAATTGTATATGGCCAATAAAGTGATCCCATATCTCATCTTATCTTACTGTATGCTCATCATTCAGAACTTCATCCCCTCATCTTGCAATTTGTTACATCAGATGTCTCCCCCCACCCCAGGGCTGCCCACTGTGTGGAATTACAGAGAGAACGGAGTGTTTTCTCCGGGCGCAGCCTCTGAAACTCTGAGCTGTCTAAGAATCTCTGAGCTTCTCAGAGAACACTGTGATACACGTCTTCACCAGCCTGTATTTTAACATGTGCATCAGGTTCATTTTATCATTTAAAAATCGTGTTTAACCATTTCCAGACCGATTTCTTTTTTTTTTTGGCTAATTGAAGGAATAAGACCTAACCTTGAAATCCCTAAATCCACATAGATGACCCTTAGTTTCCTTCTTTTTTTTTTGCTGTAACAGTTTGTAGTGAAATGGTTCACAGCAGTGAACTAATTTTTTGTGCCTGAACATGAACTCGCAGTGCCCCCTAGTGTACACACACAACATTTGAGCTACTGCAAATTCTGGCTCCTTTCCAGACTGCCAGGTGTAAATTATATTTAATTCTTCTTCTAATTTCTTTATTTCATCGAATTCTTCGAATGTTCTCTGCTGTTGCATTTTAACTCATCATTGTTTCAACCTAGAATCTTACCCATCAGTAACAAGATGGGAGAAGTTCTCCATAGTGCCGTAGCTGTAGTTCGTGGCCTTTGTCGTGGTTTCTGGTTGCTCTCATGGCTTTCTCTTCTTTAGTGAGCTGGAGGGCTATGTGGATGAGCTGAAGAAAGACTCGGCCTCTGCCACCGTTCACAGAGCCGTCACCCTGAAGGATGTCGAAGACGGGGCTGTGAACCTGAGGAAAGTTGGGGAGTCCCTGGCTACACTCAAGGGTAAATAGGGTCTCCTGTTCCAAAGTTCCACTCCAGCTTGTTGCAGTGAATTAAAACAAATGGATTAAAACAAAAGATACACCCATAGAAGGCTATTAACTTTCTCTGTTCTAACACCTCTGTGATTTACTGTAGCACATCTTAGGTGCCTTTACACATTTCATTCACTGCAGACGCAATAGAGGGTCCATGAATCCATAATCAGACAGATGCTTGTTCCTGGGGATATGTGCGTACGTGTAGGTGCTGGTGTTCCTCACTCCATTGTAGGACACACACACTCCGGGGCACTGCGTGCCTAAAAGTAGCAGCAGCTGTGTCCGGAGGTGGCTGGAAAGAGCTACCTGTGTTCTAGTAGGGCTGCTCCGGCCTTGCCTTAAAAACAACAGCATTTTTGCCTAAGCCCAGGGTTAATGAATAACCTGTTTTGGAAACCTGTCCAGTTTCCTCCCATGGTTACACATGGCTCAGTGTGTGACTGTCTGCGGGGGCTGGTAGCCGGGAGGAAACTGGAGCACCTAGAGTCAACCCGTGCAGACGCAGGGTGGCAAGCAGACCCCTCACGAGAGGCGCCCCCAGCCAGAATCGTGCTGAGCAGCCAGAGGCGCTGTGAGGCAGCACTGCAAATCAGCACCCGATTCCCTCCGGGACTCCTCTTTTACAGAACTAAAAAAAAAAGCATTGGCAATATAGACAGCTGCTCAATTAGCTGCTACTAATAGTTTGTGTCTATTTGTCTTCTGTTTAGATATGCCGAAGCTCTGCAACTGAGTGCACTAAAGAGAAAACATCATAAGATATAAAATAGTCCATTTGGCTTACTTCAATGTAGTTCAATTAAATATAACTACTTATTTATCCTTGATTTAAATATTATAAACTCGTGTGACTATTCAATCTTGAATATTTAAACATTAAGCACAGAAGGAGATTAATATTGCATTTACATGCAGCTTGTTTGATGATGTATTTTGTATCACTGTTAAAATACCATAACAGGAATATTGGTCTGTAGACTATTAACAGAAAGTAGGTTGAGGAACACATGTACAACATCTGTTTTCTTTAGTGTTTTTTTTTTAAACTGGAGTAAAGCTTGGACAGCATAATGAGTGTAGACATCCAAGTTGATTTTAAGAATAAAAAAAAGGTAGTAAAAAAATTATTTCATGTATGTCAAACCGTTTAAGAGGACAGACATCTCGTGGAATTCTTTCCAGCTGAAAAGCTGGGCGTGTAAAGACATAATAACCACGTCAGAAAGACATGTTGTGAGAACAAGTGTTTTCAGTCGCGCTGGCGTGTAAAATCTGTCTCCGCGCTGCGCTGTCGGCTGCCGGCCGTGAGCTGCAGGCGCAGACCGCTGACCCCGAGGGGCCGCGGGCCCCTGTGCTTGCCCACAGGAGAGTTCCCCGCCCTGCAGGGCAAGATGAGGGCGGTGCTGCGCGTGGAAGTGGAGGCCGTCAAGTTCCTGAAGGAGGAGCCACACAAGCTCGACAGCATGCTGAAAAGAGTCAAGACACTGACCGAGATCCTCAGCGGTTTGAGAAGGTGAGCCTCCATAACGTTCCTCGTCGGCAGGCGAATGCCTTTCGGTTTTCCGGTTCGAGAGGTCCAATGCAGACCATCCGGGCATGTATCATGGGTATTTGTCTTCTTACTGTCGCTATCTTGAAGCATATTATCAGGGTTTTTTTTTTAAATTAATCTCATTGTTGATTTAATATCTTGGAAATGGGGTGGAAAAAGGTCAAGAGCTGCCTACCCCAGGAGTATCAAGCAGAAGACCCATGGGCTGGGATTAGTCTGCCAGTTCCATCCGCTTGGCCTGTGTGGCCGTTGATTGGGATCCAGGTCGTGTCTGGTCTGAGCCTGCAGAGCCCCTGCCTGAAGCAGGGGCACTTGGTTGACATGCTTCACCTGTAAACCAGTTAGCTGCTTACCAAAGAGCAATAGCAATAGTTGTAGAATTCTATGTATATTCTGCTGGCCTGTTAATTATAGCATCACAGTTTCCATTCTATCAGTATTTAATTAGTCTACATATAGATATTCAAAGGGAGAGTGAATTAAACCAGTTCATACCAATTAATTACAGTTAATTAAGTAGTTTCTGCTGGAAACAATAGGAATTTATTTTCTGGCTTTGCCACTGGAGGCACGTACATAGCTGATATTTATAATAATAGGCTTGACCCAATACATTTATCTAGCTCATTGATTTCACTGTCGTTGTGACAATAATATGAGCAACAGTTGAGTTTGTGGCTCTCTTTCCTGGATAACGACCTTTGCTTGGGGGGGGGGTTTACTGTATATTCCGCAGGTATGCCACAGATAATCTTTTAAAAGGCTCTGAACCGGCACAAGTCAAAACGACCCTCGCAGAGAGCGTCGTGAGCTTCACTACATCCGAGTCTCTGCCTGCTGTTGGCGCCCCCCCTCAGGAGCAGCCTGCACCCCGGCCTCCCTCCCCCACAGGCCTGCCGGAGCCCCAGAGCTCCTCCGTCAAATCGGAGGTCATGCCGGCTTCTCCAGTAGTGATTCACCACGTGCAGAGCTCTCCGGTGCACATCCAGCAGTCGCAGCACTCGGCGGCGCTGTTCCACCGCTCCGGCAGCCCCCCCGCAGCCGCGTCGCCGGCCCCGTGCCTGGACTCCCCCCCCCTGCTGGCACGCGGCGGCCCGCAGAGCCCCACTCCCGGCGGGCCCCCAGGCCAGGAAGCCGGTGCTGCCCCAGTGCAGCAGCAGAGGGTCACCCGGGCGGAGCAGACTGCCCCCGCGTCCCCAGCAGCCAGCAGCGCGGCGCAGAGCCTCTTCATCGAGGAGATCCACACCAGCCGGAGCAAGCACAGAGACAGGGCCGTGACCATTGAGGTAACGCAGGACCTCGCCGTGCTGGTGTGGACTGCAGTGACAGAATGAGGGTCCAGAGTGCGGGCCGGTTGAGGGAGAAAGGTGTGGATTCGAGTTTAAAGTGGTGTTTACCGATTGGATTCAATGCTGAAGTAGGGTTAGAGGAGGAGGTAAGGGCTGCAGGAGGGGAGTGGTGGGTATCATTGAGTTAAGCTTAGAGTTATGGGTACACGTAGTGTTCCAGGTACTGTAAGTGTTCAAGGTTTATATATATCTAGTGAATTTGGGCCTGAGTGTAAATGTGCATTTCGATACAGATAATGTTTATGAAATAGGGTTACTGCTAAACACATAGCTTTGGTTCAGATTTGAGATTAGTGCACAGATTGGACTGAGTTAAGAATAACAGTTCAATTAAAAACGGGGTCACTGTGTGCTCAATCACAGGCCCAGTTCGTCTTCTGAACCCCAGCTGCTTTTTGTACATACAGCAGCTCAGAAACAGCTCTGATATATTCCTGCTCCAGGTTCCAGATTCCAGCACATACCTACTTTAATTTTAGCTTTAATGATCTGCCTGGGCTAGTCCGTGTCCTTAAATCACTTCAACAAGCGTAGCCCTAAAGTTTTCTGTTGACTGGACATGGGACAGTAAATCTACAGTGAAGAGGCGAATTGCCAAACCTTACAGCTACTTTATATCACATAGTGTGTGAATGTTTGACAGCCTGCAGTGTTTGTGTGTGATTTTGTGTCTGAAATGCCTGAGGTCTTAGAGACCCTTCTTGTATTGCCATCACGGAAGGAATTGCTTAGCAGTGTGATGGCTGCAGTCTTGAGTGGTTGAGTTTGAGACTTGACCCTTCTCTTTTGTTTGCATTTCCACACTAGTACTGTTAAGACCTGCGGAGTAACTCCAGCTCATTCCATCGCTCCTGCTCTTAAACGTCTCTTCAGGACTGATTCTGTCGCTCTGTGACGAAGGTGCGATGGCTCTGGAGCGCTCAGGGGTGTTTTCTCGCGCAGGCTGCCGAGAAGGAGTGGGAGGAGAAGCGGCAGAATATGGGCCACTATGACGGGAGGGAATTCGAGAAGCTACTGCAGGAAGCCCAGGCCAACATGATGAGAGGCATACCCGACCTGGAAGTGGCGGCCGAGGCGGAGGCGCCGGCGGTCCCTCCGCTGCCTCGCCAGGAGGAGGTGGACTCGGCCTCGTCGCTGGGGCAGCCGTCAGGTAGGACACGGAGCCGCTGGGGGGAGGAGGAACAAGTGAAGGTTTAATTCGGTGCTGAAAAGAGGATAAGGGAAACGCGACGTTTCGGCTGTGGAGCCCTCCTGGGGTGTGGGCGAAGGACGCCTCGGGCGCTCGCGGTGCAGCGCGGTACTCGGCTTGCCCGGCAGAATGTGTGTTCGTGATCTGCTCACGGCTTTTCTCCCAGCTTTCTCACATGTGCGCTGTCATCACAGCTACCCCCCGACGGGTTATGGAGTTTGAATGGCGTTAAAAAGAGCTGCCGGAGGTATTTGTTGAAGGGATCTGAAAACCTGAGAGGCTTTTAATTGGACAAATTAGCCTTCCAAGAATGAATCCTAGAAGAGGTGTCACATTTCATGAAAAGATGAATTCATAAGACAATTTGCTTTATATAAAGGCCCGGAGAGTGCAGAACTCACAGAACAGTTGTCTTTAAATAAAGACGTAGAACTGAGCAGAATTTGCACAATAATTGGCAGGATTCACAAGCCAATTGGCTTTAAATAAAGGTGTGGATCCGAGTGGAATTCACAGAGTAATTGGTTTGAAAAACATAATTTGAGACGATAAGAAGAAAATGTATTTGAAAGCTTAATTGAAGTGAGGTTTGGCCAGAAGAGGAGTATGATTTAAAAGGGAAAAAGTTTTTTCAAAAAGAAATTTTGATTGTTATTCAAAACGTTCATTAATATTTTACATTAATAGTTTTTTACTTGGACTTTCCTATTGACAAAACCAAAGACCATTCAGAAAATTCTTAAAATATTTCTTTTTTTTTTTGTTATTTTAGGTATCTGTTTTTCCTTTTTCACAACTAGGGAATGTTTTGAACACCGGGACACCAGGAGTGTCCAGTCCAGGTTCTGGAGGGCTAGCGTGTGTCTGCTGGTTTTGATTCCAGCTGACCTCTTAATTAGCTAAACCAGCTGGTTACCGTGTAACCTGAGTTTAGATTGAATTAAACAGCTTCTCCCAGCTCTTCGGCCCCTGCGGCATTGCAGAAGCCTCCCCCGATATCCACTGTACAGATACGGTGTATTTCAAGGTTCATTAATTAGCATTAAACACACCTTATCAACTTGTCACTTGAACATTTACAAACACAACAGACTAATTATACAGAGGAAGTTTCAGTTACGTGTCAGTGGTTTTTAAAAAGTCAAAACCTTCCACCAGCCACAAACCTAAAAGAAATATAGCCTTGCCACATTTTTTTTTTTACTTTTTTTTTTTTGCTCCCAAACAGTTGATGAAGTGTACACATTCACTGAAATTACATAGTTTCTTCCCTGTGTCAGTGGGTGGCTTTGGGCTTCTATCCCTCTTACAACTTCTCTCCTGTTACAGTATATACTTGTGCTCCTCTCCGTCTGTGTCTTTAAAGAAGGTAAAAAGAAGCTGTGTGCATTTACCCCCACTTAGAGTTCACAGGGCAGTTTGGGAAGCACAATCACTTAACAGAATTTCATGGACAATATTCCAAGAAAATTCACAAACTGTCAAAATTGTTTCATTACGTTTAAATTGTGTATCATGTGGTATGTATTCTGTGTGTGTGTTTTTTTTTAATTGCACTTAATTATTTCCTTTAGCTATTCTGCGAGGGGGACGTCTTCAGTCAATGTGAAAGGAGGTCATTTTAAAGCACAGTTTAAATAATCTCTGGGGTTTAGACGCCACCTTAATCGAAAGCAATTTACATGTATTACAGTTTTCATGAATTGGAAGATTATACATATTGTTGAAGTTACATCTCTGAGTGGTGGAACACAAAACTTGGAATACATCATAGTAAGATGAACTGGATAAGGTCCTGCAAGAAAAGGCAATTTTGGGGCGTCCTTGCTTCACAGCTCTGTCACTTGCTTCCTGCTAATTTGAGAACTGTTAGCTCTTTTACAGTTTTTAAATCAAAAGACCCATCTGTTAAGTCTGGCTTTTCATTAGCGATTGCCTTTTCTCCTTTCTCCACGGTTTTTCTTTCTGTCTTTCTTTATTTCTGTTCCATTCATTCTTATTTATATTTTTCTTTTTCTCTTTTGTTCTACCCTGTAATTTGCTTCAAGCACAGTTGGTGCACAGGGACACTGAAGTATATCTGTGCACCCCTGTAAGGTTTACAGCTGTGTCCTCTGAGGTGTGCTCATACTGTTGACCTGCCTGTGGCTGTGGTTTGCATTACTGTAGAAATATGTGCTGTGGTGGGTGATGGCAGGGTCAGGTATCAGAACTGTAAAGCTGCTGTCTTACTGAGGAATGTGAACTCAGTGCAACAGGAGACTCTTTTATCAGAGTACGTCATGCACTGTTGACATAGTCTTTGTTCTTGGTCTGCACATTGACCACAGAATCAAGCAGAGCGCTGGATGATTTTGAACATGACACACTTCTTTCTTTTGGACTGGATTTCACTTTACTGTAAAATCCCCCCACTGCTGTGAGACTGAGATTGTATTTCCAGTTGTCTGTAGGTGCAGGAGAGCTGCAGAGTTTCTATCTCTATAACGGTGTCACTATCCGAGTATTTGTTTTGCTTTTGTATCCCTGGGTCTGTTAGGTGTTTGAGAAAATTAGCGTCAGTCAATATATAAATACGAGCCAAATGTAAATAAAATTGTGTTAGCTGTTATTCAGTGTTTTGGCACAGATGCAATAGGGGTGAAGGCAGTTTAGGTCAGCCTGGAATTATGCAAGTTGAAACCATTTGACAAATCTGAGGGGTAAAGGCTAACTTTACTTCTATTAAAGTCCCGTGACTTCTGTGAGTCCCGTGTTCAAGCCACTGTGTCTTTGTGTCTGTCTCCAGTGGAGGAGGCTCCATACGCAGACACCAGCGCTGACAAAGCTGGTAAGTCTCCACCCCCTCCTCCTCCCAGAAGGAGCTACCCCCCAGGCTCTGGCCTCACTACCGGAAGATCAGGGGAGGTTATCTTCACGTCCAGGAAGGACGCTGCCGCCGCTCAGGTATGCATGTTTCTAAAGGGGAACTGCCGTCCCCATCTCTCTGACCGGTTCTTAAATCTCGGTAACAAAATGAATTCATTGACGGTATAGAACATTTTTACAAATTCCGAATGAGGCCCAAAATGGTGAACTTTGTGAAAGTACTGCAAGTCGCCATGTTGTGGCAAACCCCTGGTCTCGCCGCGGAAAGTTCCCGGGAATTGTGAGGTGATGCGGCCCTTCCTGCTCACTAGTCACCTGTAATGACTAATATAACACGACGTGCTGTACGAGCGATTAAGTACAGTTTGTGCAGCAGATATTTCACCACAGAAAGTCTCTAATGTGATCTGCATGTTAACAAATGTTAATGTCAAAAAAAGTTTGATTTATTAGCAATTGTACAGTATGTGTATTATTTACCAGCAACACTGAATCCAATCTTGTTCTGGTGCTCTTTTCTGAAGTAGCAGGTGTTTCTCTCAATTTATACTTGAAATATCCCCCAATCTGACTCTGAAACAGATCATCTGCACTATTCAAACAGCAGTTTTATTATCCTTATGTTAAACTTTGTCTTAATGCAAATAACACAGGTCTTGACAAATCAGCACTGGGATTTATAATTGTAACATTTATAATTGAGGTAAACACTGATACTAATAAGGAACAATGTACATTTAAGTGATTAAGATTTAATGCTTTATCCATGTATTAAAAGTTTCATTGGGCCTGTTGAATTACTTCCTGATAAGTTTGAGATGATTGAAACAATGAAGCCAGGTGTGAGCTGACATCACCTCTCAGGGAAGAAAGGTTGTGAAGGACTGCTGTTTCCCCAGGCTGAGGCAGAAGAGGAAGGCACACAGGGACACAACCAACCCTCCAAAGTCTCCTCCGAGAGCAGGGTGGTGACTCGGAGCCCGCCGCCCGCCGCCGCCTCTGCCGTCCCGGACGAGGAAGACGAAGGGGGCAAGATCCTGGCCGAGCTGCAGGTAAAGACGGGCGTCCTTGATCGCACCTCCTGGAACGCTCTGTGTGCCTCTTGTTGAGCGCTCTGGTTTGGCAGGACTCGGTGTGTGCGTGTGAGTACGGCACAGTCGCAGAGCAGGAGACATGAACATGAACGTGGTGACTCTAGATTGGACACTGCTTGGGCTCTGTGAAAAACCAGCCCTGCTGCTTTTGGAGTCCATTTCAAATTGAACGAGGGTGACAGAAACAATCCAATTAGCAGGGCGGATGAAACAGCTGGGTCGGAAGTCTAGCTGAGCTTTCCGTTCGCCTCATTTTGTATCAATTACAATGAGAGTAAATGCACAAAAATCTTCTTTTTGTTTTATGTTAAGATTACCAAAATACAACAGGCAACACTGATATTGTCTTGTGTAATTTAATAAGGTTTACAAATATTGTGATTCTCGGGCTGTAAAATCTCTTGCATTATTAGGTTCTATGCTTATAACTTTTTATGTGTGTATATGAGTGGTAATTCTCATTTTCCAGATATTTATCTGAATTTATTGGCATTGACGGGCTTTTCGAAAAATGTTTTCCCTTACGGTCAGCTCTTGCCCTGCATTTAATTGGTAGAGTAATGTGCTCTGTGTATCATAATAATGTCTGACATTTTGAATAAGCCTGTACAACATGTGATAAGGGATGTTTTAGCCACATCTGCTTGGTTTGTATGTTCTTTACTCTGAATTGCAGAGTCAGCTTTACCACTGATGCTGTGCACAAACTCTGTGAGCCCCTTAAGTATTGCTGTCTTCACCGAAAAAGAGTACCAACTTCAGCTGTACAGAAAATTAATCAGGCTGTATTGCTGTTGAGTTATAATGTGACACATATATAACAGGTTCTTTGCTAGAGTTTTTTAAAAAGGTCTGTTTTTTTTATCTGTGGTAAAAAACACCCTTTCTCTGGGTCTTTGTAAACTTAACCAGTGCTTGGTATTTGTTATTTGAAATCCTGTAATGGCACAAGGCCTGAAAAACAGTGATGGCTGACGTGTTTGTTACGAAGAGACTAGAGGGAAACCCCAGACGCCCATGTGGCTCCAGAGTCCCAGGGGGCAGTATTTGTGTTGTAAATTGGGAAAAAAAAAATCATTTGAATAAAACTCGTGTATAAAACGGCCTCAGGATTCTAATCCCAAATGTATCTTGATTTCTCAGGTTTTCCAGAAGTGCACTTTTACGGATGTAGGGGCAAAAAGTTTTGTTGAGCATACAAGAGTTGACCCCCAAGTCAGAGAGCTAAGGCCTGGAGCCTTAACATCACCCAGAGAAAAGAAGGTAATATCCGTGGCGCCACTGAGCTTTGCCACCTGATTACCTGCTTCAGCCCCCTGTCTGAGTGGGGCCTTTCCAGTCTTTACCCAGTGCTGCTCTGCTACCTTGCGTTTTTAACACCCTGGTGCAGGTTCCTTGGCCTGCTTGTTTTCCACTGTGTCTTCTGCTGTCCACAGGGTGCTCTCACTCTTTGTACTTCTGGGCCTGCATGAGCTCTTTCCTTCTGGAGACAGCCCTGTTTAAGCCAGTACCAGAGACCTAACTTTCCTTTTTCAATCAATTTGATGCAGTAAATATAAAAGCTTCACAGCACGCAGCTGCCGGTCAGTCACATTCTCCTAAAACCTATTAACATATTTTTAGATTTTCACCAGACTGGTCAGAGAGGAACACTTTTTGTTTCAGTGTCAATAAATTTGGCAACTTTTCAGTTAAGGTATCCATTCCATGTCTTTAAACAATATACTGATAAAGGCAGTTGCATCAATGGCAATTCTAAAAGTTACATACCCCTAACCGCCTGCATTAAAGATTAGTTATTGTCACACGTCACCTTAATACTGTAAATGCAATTTGTAATAGTCTTAGAAAAGATCATACATTTTCTGTTATACCTCAGTAGTTCTTTATTCCAATAAATGGATGGAGGAATTGCAAGAATACAGTATACGTACGATGCATGAATAACTACTTCTATTATTTCTATGAGCAATCAGGAACTCCAGTGGGTTTCATTAAAGTTGCTCTTGATGAGACTCTGTTTTTAGGCTGTGTGCCTGACAGCAGTGTCAGTAAGCCTGACTGTGTTCTTGTAGTCTTGTTTCACAGTCCGAAATGTAGTGTGTATTCCACCCCTCCTGCTTTTTCTGTGCTTGTTTACTGCTGGTATTTGAGCTTTGTGTTTCGTTCAAACGGTGCTGAACTGTTAGCGGGGTGAAACCATGCGCTGAATCTCTTCTCTTGCAGCAATAACTCCTGCAGGACCTCTGCCTGTCATGCTGCTGCTTATGTTGCATATGAGTTTAATAAGTGAATGTGTTATCTTGCCTACTGAAGTATTAAAGTATAGTTAGTATTAAAATAAAGCTAAATCAATTCTGAAGCACTATAAACAAGCACATTTTAGGGTGTTTGAAAACATAGGCATTGTCCATTCCTAAGCCATAAGCATAATAATGCAGTAAATTTGTATCTTGGACACTTTGATACATTTAACTTCCCCGAATAACATGATGTCACATTTCAGATTCATGGAATATTTAATGATTAAATGGTTGGCTCCCAGTGGCAGTATCCAACATTTTGGGGAAATTGACAAGTGTTTGAAGCAGCACAATGGGAGCTTGAAAATATTTATTTTCATGTCATGATCCTTTTTAATAGTAGTTTAAATTAAAGTGTATTTGCAAGCATGATGTCAGTTTCCTTATTCTGCGCATCTGTGTAACACATGACCTTATTTTGACTCTTATTAATGGAATCATTATGAAAAAAATGTGATTGCTTCATGTGGGTTTAATAATGCGGGGGACTGTGGCTGTGATTTGTAAATGTCTGTCAGTTCATATCTCTGATCACGTTGAGTATCGCAAGATTAACTTTCATGATTTCTGTTACATTGAGAAATACCCTATTCCTGTATCTAATCTTTCATCGGGCTGGCACATTGTGTTTTTCTCATCTTGGGTGATCTGTTTATGATTGACAATGTTCAGTCAATTGCTGCAGCTTCTTTAAGGAACATGAAAAATACCTTTGCTAACCTGAAATGTCTTACTAAATTGTACATGCATACTAATAGTGGCTGTTTAAATTAATATTAAAATAAAGTTTCTGGTTTGTTTGCATTTGCAATATTTTGGTGTCTGTTCAGGTAAAATGAACTTTCTTTTTCTTTCTAGACTAACATGCCGAACTCTTATAATGGTATTGCACTTTACATGACATATTAGGTCTACAAGCGTATGTTTCATAATACAATTTCCAATGCATCGCACTGGACACTGAGGAAATTGCAAAGTCAAATGAACAGAGATTATAACTGCATGATAATGAAGAAAATTATCTGTTGTGAGGCATAACTACTGTTCCACGTTTTCACTGTTTATTTTACAATGACACCCCCTTTTAAAGTGCATTTAGACTGGTATTCACAGTGCATCCCAGTGTAGCAATACTTATTCCTTAATCTCCAACTATTGAATCTTGGCTGTCATTAACTGTAATTATAATAACCGTAACTGCGATATGTTTATGAATAGATCAAATATCCATATGTGATCTTAAAATACTGTTGGATATTAGGGGCAAAAATAAATGTGCAACCATATAGTGCATATCAGTTGGGAAACTGAACCACAAGTTAAACAGCCTCTGGGATTGATGATCGGCATCACCTATAAACTCTTTCTGAAGGAAGGACCCTCAGCAGCTGTGATGTTAAGTGAAAAGCAGTTTGGGAATTGGTTGATAATCAGCAGAGATGTGGTGCGATTAACTGGAAAAGGGAATCTGTGAAAGTTTAACGGGATGTCACACAAAGAAAAGTAAACACCATAAAATGTGGAACAATGGCTATAAGGCACTTTTTTTTACCCCTAAATCATTACTTTAATATAAATCCACCGTCATTGTTTTCCCTACTAGTAAATAATGAGGGTCGCACTTTTAAAACTGCTAAATGTAACACCACCAGCTGAAACGGCTATTTGCCATCACCAAAACTTTTGCTTTTTATGTTTAACTTTTACTTTGTGCTAACTCCTGTACATGGGGCCCTGGAAAAGGTATTACTCGATCTTGGAGTGAGTCGGTGTAATCCTAATCTAGGTGTAGGGCCCTTGGTCATTTCTCAAGGTCTGTAGAAAACCTGTTGGACACTGGATCCCAGAAATTCAGATATCCCAGTTTTGGGAATTCCTGCTTTATGTGAGCATTTGAGGAGAAAAATGTAGCTACAGTGTTCCAGAAATCTTGTTAGGCATACATTTTTACAACTGGCAAAACCTCATAATACATTTAATTTGGACTCTTGCTTTCAGCCAAAGTTACTTCATTCTTTTTTTCCCCCTAACTCTTTTTATTGCCCAATGCTTCTTTGAGAGCCCAGATGCACTCATTCTTAGCATAAATAGCATACATTAGTGCAAACAGAATACTGAAGTCCATCTGGGTCTTGCACAGAAAGCACTTGTGCAATAATATTGTCCTCATAAACTGTCCTAGCAGAGTGTGGAGGTGCTCCATGAAGAGAAACAGTCGAGCACTGATGAAAATGGGAACGACACCGTGCTGCAGACTCAAGGGGTAGGTCAGCTTTGTGCTGCACCACTTCCAATACATCTTTCTTTGAGTCGGCATTTTTTATCTTGGTGCTCGATTTAACATATCGTTTTCTCTTGTGCAGGTAATATACTATGTCACCGGTCAACTTCCCAAAGAGCTACCTGCGGTAGAAATGGAAGACCATAAGGAACGCAGAGAATTCCACAGTGAAACAACACTTTCTTCTTCACAGGTTGCCAGTGTGAATGCTTATGAAATTTCAGAAAGTCAGCAGTTAGGGACAGATGAGATTCCTGTTCTCTCAGAGCGTTCATTGAGGGAAGGCCAAGAAACCTTTTACACCCCAGAGCATCAGGTGCAAATAGTGTATACAGAATCCCATCAGGAAGATGGTTACTTGGCAGAAGCACCTAGAAGTATTCCTCAGCTGGATACAGGAAGCAAGGAGGAGCACTGTGTCGAGATTGTGTCTCATCAAGTCAGCGTTGACAAGCATGTAGTGTCAGTTTCTGTCGAGGAAGGTGGTTTTCGTAATGAAATGCTGGTGGCTGCAGAAGGACCTTTAGTCCTTGACCGTGATGCTTCCCCGACTCCAGAGTCTGTGCAAGAAGGTGCAGAAAGTGAATGCAGCCAACAGGTAGTGATGAGACCTTCTAAAGGTAGAGTAAAGTGTGCTGAAGAAGCAGAGTCAAACTCAAGCTCTCCCAGTGAAGAATTCCCTTCTCCTACAGATAACATAGCCTTCATGATAACTGACACAAAAGTGCAGGCTTTGTCCTGTGGAGAGTATGAGGAAATAGTCAACACCAAAGGAGAAAACATCCAGACTGTGAACGTGGATAACAACAAGGAAATGACAACCCAGGATAACAGCTTTGACAAGAAGCCAGTGATCATCATATTTGATGAGCCAATGGACATCCGTTCAGCCTACAAAAGACTGTCCACTATATTTGAGTGTGAAGAGGAACTGGAGAGGATGTTGGCTGAGGAAAGGATTGAGGAGGAAAACGAGGATGCAGAGGACGTTTCCTTGGACAGAAAAGATTGTGCTGGGGAAGGCAAAGCAAATGAAAGAGATGGCATATTGAATGTATCCGCTACTCGGAGCGATCCTTACACCTCCAGTATGGTTAAAGAAGAACACGGTGGGTTACAGGACCCCTTGAACACGGAGACAGACGATTCCAAATCCGAGTTTGCAAATGACGGCAAACAAGATGCCAAGAAAAAGTTTAAGTTCAAGTTCCCTAAAAAGCAGCTCGCGGCTCTGACTCAAGCCATTCGCACAGGTACGAAGACGGGCAAGAAGACCCTTCAGGTCGTTGTGTACGAAGAGGAGGAAGAGCTGGATGGGACTGTGAAGCAACAAAAGGAAGCCAAGAGATTTGAAATCAGCCGGACGAAGCCTAAAGCCGACTCGGCCACCGCCTCCCTCACCGCTGTGACGAAGAACGTGACGGTCGTCCAGCAGGGCTCATCTGATTCCCACCACAGGACTGACGAGATCCGGAAGAATACCTACAAGACCCTCGACAGCCTGGAGCAAACCATAAAGCAGCTAGAGACAACGATCAGTGAAATGGGCCCCAGATCACCCGAGGAAACGTCCTTCGAGGAATCTAAAGCGTACTCCATTCAGATGGCTGAATCCTTAGGCAAAGATTCGCCGCCAGAGGAACACAATTCCATGCAGGAGTTACCCCCCCCTGTCTATCAGCCCCATAAGGCTGCGCATCATAAGAAGCATAAACCACAGCTTCTCCCAAGACCTGCTGCCATCCCCACCACCAGCGATCAGGTCTCATTTTAGCTCTTCTTGCTTCAAGGTGGCTTGGTTTCTTTGGGTCTTTTCTAACAGCTGATTCTACAGATGATTAATACATTTTGCAGGTGCTGGGAAATGCTGGGAGACCTGTGCTTTTAACCTTCTGGTGTGATTACAGTTGACATAATCGCGAACTGGCAGTTTTTTAAGGGTTGCTGAATTTTGATTTTTCTGCTAAAACTCTAACCCCATATTTAGGCAGTGGAAATCTTTTTGTTGTTGTTGTTGTTGTTCTAGAAGCACTGTGTTGTCCTCTTGATTGTGTTTTTACTTGCGCATGTCGGTTTTCCGGTTGGGTTACTGGTGCATGAGGCTTGTCGTCTCCCTTGTTGGCAATCATGAATGTAAGATGAACGGTTTGTTCCGTCTTCTGTTTTCGCCCATTTCCTTGCAGAGCACCAGTGTTACTACATCTACCAGTCGGATGCCAGTGCCTATGTCCGCAAAATCCAGACAGCAGCCAGGGGGTTCGGAAAAAGCAGGAAAGCAGCAAAAACTGCAGGATCCTCAGAGGCAGTTCCGACAGGTAGTTTTACTGTAGAGGCTTGAAAAAAGGATTTTCATTCGTTTTGACACAATTAGACAAAAACAAATATAGTACAGAGAATTGGGAATCTGTAAAAACCAAAGCTTTTAAGTTGCTGAAGTGTTCTGTTAATCCTAATCGACCACACCAATCTGGATCTGTTGATGTCTGTTTCACCTGCTTGGATGGCATGTTTCCAGACTTTTGACTGTTACCTGCAACACTTCCACCACACGCTTGTGCATGTCTGCAGCGTTAACTTCTTTTGCTGTGTTAACGGAAAAGTTTTAAAAAAGCAGCACAAAAAGAAGAATCGTGCCTGTGGCCAACAACCGAGATGTCCTTACTTCAGATTTGCAAACGGCTCATATCCCGTCGTTAGTGTTATGGTTCCCTGCAAGGAATACGATGCTTGACCTAAACACAGCCCTACTAACTGCTGTTGGACACCGGACGCTGTCCTCCTGCAAGGCAATCCCAGTTCGCCCACTTCCTTCCCACAATGCATGGCAATCCCAGTTACTAACAGGGGCAACCACACTCGCACCACGTCTCCCCTTTCTGCCTGTTCTCTGTAGTAACCCTTTTCTCCAGGTCTGAAACTAATAACTAAGGGTGAAATGACAAATCACTTAGTCTGTTAACTCTTCTGTCTTTTATTTGTGAAATTCGTTAAGAAAAAGAAAATGCTGAAACACACTTTCCGCAAGCCCGAACCCTTTAATGGTTTACAGTGTTGTCTGGCTTTTTTATTTGTTTTCCTTTTTTTTTTGACAAACCATATCTCCTGGCATCTTTGTTTACAGGCTAACGGAAGTGCTAAGAAAGCTGGTGGGGATTATAAAGCTACTTCCCCTCCTTTACCTGCTTCTAAGATCCCAGCCTTTTCTTCCAGCTCTGGGAAAAGCAGTACTCTGTCTGCTTCCAGCTCAGATGCTACTAACCCTGTTGTTTCCTCTTCCAAGTCTTCCATCCCCTCTCCCAGCCTCCTGAACTCACACGCCACCCGTTCGGCTCCCCACCACCCCCCGGCACCCACCCACATCCCCTCTCTGTCTAACGGCTCTCTCAAGCCCCAAAGCCCCACTCACACCGGTAAAGGTCACAATCTTTCGTTCTCGCCACAGAACCAAAACGGCCGACCACCCCCTTCCTCTTCCTTCTCCCCTTCCTCCTCCTACTCCCCCTCGGCCCCTTCCCCCGTCTCCCACACTTCCCTGAGTCAAGGTGCGAAGAGCATCCGGACAATACACACACCCAGCTTCATCAGCTACAAGCCACAGAACGGGAACAGCAGCAAATCCTCACTGCCGTCTTCTTCATCGTCCAAGGACGCAGCGTAACCTTTTATCTGAAAGAAAAGCCTGAAAGGGGACACAACGTGCTTTGCATACTGATTTTGTTGTGTAAATATTTGAGTTTGATTTGTTTCTTTTTTTTTTTCATGCTTTTAATTTTATTTTTACTTGGACGTTTGCTGCATGTCGTTCTCCGGAGATTCATACACAGTAAATAGACGAAAAAGGTTCAGAAATGCAGTTAATGGTGTGGCTCTGCTCAGGAGGTGTTACAATGAATGAGCTCTGAAAAGCTGTTTCGTTTGATGACAACTTTCGTTCTTGCTGAATGCTATTTAAAAAGCATTTCTAATACATTTTTTAAAAAGACATAAAAATACATACAGTAAAATTTAAAAAAATATCCATGAATACGATAAAAAAGATAACTGGATGGAGCTGTTCATTTTGATTTTAGTTTTATTTGCCAACAAATACTAATTCATTTTACTGCTTTACAGCCCAGCTAACTTACAAACATTTTGTGTTGGTAGCTTTTCCATGCACTGCCAGTTTCTTTTAAAAATAGTATATAATATACTTGGTTTTAGGAGACGCTATTCTGTGTTTTAGTAGTTATTCCTGTTTGCCAAAGTTATTTGTACTTCACTTCCAAATTATACTTATATATTGATTAAAACACTGTGTGGAAATTTTAAGTTTAAAGCTTGGGGTAAAACCCAATTTTACCTTAAGATTTTCAGTAGCTTAACAGATATGTGCTACTCAAGTTCATGGTTCTTGGTGTTTAAATGTATACTAAATGACAGCAATTTACAGTGAAGTAAACCTGTGTATATAAATGCTTATATATTCTTTGGGAAACTTAGTATAGTTTTGTTAACATACCAAAGTTTATTTCTATGCATGCCTTTTAAGATATTTTAGATGAGGTGTTGATGCTAATGTAAAAGAGTATGTTTGCACAGATAGATTTTGTAAATATTTTTCTTTCTTTTTGTAAAGCTTTAAACCATATTGTACGATAAAGCGCTCTGGAAAAGAGAATTGTGAAGGTATTAAAAAAGATAAATAAAGGGCTGCATGCTAGTGCATTTTTGTTTTATTCTTTTATCCCTTAACATTAGAGTATTCTAGCAGGAGCATATAAATATACCCAAGTGCTGATCACTTTATTAGGCGACATCCTCCGCAATACTTGTGAGGTACTGCCGAGCTTTCTTCTCATCAAATTTCAGTCCTCTTTTGGCAGCTACTTGTTTCATTTTAACATCTAAATCGTGAGAAACCTATGAGCTAGGGGTTTACCATGAGATGAGTACATTGGAGTCGGAAAGCACTACGTGTTCAGAAGTGCACAAGCTATGGATAAGGGAAGGGTGAATAGGGAATTATACATGCAAGAAAAATAAAACTACCTAATAGACGTTATATTTTTCCCCAATGTTTAGCAGTAGAAGAACAGAAAACGGTTTCAGAGATAAATGTGGAAATGTTTTAGATTACAGGGAAATGCCTGTTGTATTAAAGGAATATTTCACTTGGGTATTGATCCAGTATGGAACAGCTATTCCATTGCAGGCTGACGGGGAAGACCCACAGTAGGGGCACAGGAGAGCCAGAAATCTATCACTTAAGGAAGCAGGATAGTATTTGTGGGCCACTTCTAGCTGGCTTGCAAGACTACCACTACCTAACGAGCACCAGGAGCAGTGGATATAAACAAACAGGATCTATGACCGGGTGTCTCTTCACAAGCCTGCTTGCATGTTCAATAAGCAGCAGTGGGTGGATGTACAGGTGCCATAAATTAGTGAGAACCTAGAGAAACATGACACACATGCCTACCGAGCTGAACATGCATTCCTGGAATTCAGTCAGTAACTACTTTATAATATACATGGCCAAAGTGTGTCTGATTGAACATTAGTCTTACAAATTCTAAGAGCAATGGTTTTCTGACATTAGTCATGAGGAATGAGGGTATACCACAGGGATCTTTACTAGGTGCACGGCTTTTCTTAATTCATAGCAGTGATCTGGAGTTTTTGTACAGCTAGCACTAGCAAACGAAATTCAAAAGGTAACGCCTGGAAGGTATCATTTAATGTGGAAAAGTGCAGGGTTTTGCTTACCTGCTTTTAAAACTAAAGAGACTACTGAAAAAAAAACATACATGAACAATACCAGAATCAGGAAAAGATCTAAGAAATGGAGTATGGTTTTTATTCTCATTTTTAAATTTCTTTAAACCTCATCATTCCTGATAGTGCATGTGCATGGTTCTTGTATGCTTAAAAGCTGCAATCCATGATTATTGGGATTTCAAATGCTTTTTGTGCAAAAGGAAAGAAACATTCCATGCCAATGACTTTACATACATTTTTCATTAACAACAAAATCCACCTTTATTTCCTGCATTGCAGACACTTACAAAAATAAAAACTTCATAAACTCCTATGTAGTGTATATCTTCATACCTGCATCTTTACAACACCACCACCACCACACGAATTAAATCACAAAGATTTTTATTTCCAGTGTGTTTAGGGGTTAGACCCCTGTATAACTGTACACAGGCATGATACAATGTCCAGTTTCATGAAACATTTTTTCATGCAGTTTCAGAGATGAAAAAACTTAACCAGTTTTTCCAGGGTCCAGTATCTACATGCCTATGTTACAACACTTATCAAATCCGTTTGGAAAAAAAAAAACTAAACATGAAATATATACATTTAAGTTACTTATTTTACAGAAATACATACATTTCAAGTCCCATTAAAAACAAAAAAAAAATTAAAAATCTGAATATATAAAACACTTTCAAGACCCAACTGGAATGCCTAAAGAATGGAAGCTCAAATCTGCCTGTATTTAGATCTGTAAAATTATTTCATGAGTTGTAGATAAAATTCAGTCATTCACAGTACATTTTAAATATTTTAACAAAAGACAATATGGCACCCTAACTAACCCAAAACCAATTCAATGAGGCACTTTCTTCTTGGATAAATGGGATTTAAAATCTGGTTTTTGCAATCTGTTACCAGAAACTGACAATGCAATGGTAATATAACTGCAACACAACACAGAGCATATTGCATCAGAAGTGTTGTTCAGTACTCATTTTGTTACACAGTCATATAAAAACGTTTATTTTTATTGTACTAGCACAGAGTGTCTGGCTGTTACAATGCACTGCAAAGGGTTTCCACAGTACACAGCACAGAAACCAGCCCATACGCAGGCTGAACAAAAATAAGACAGTTCAAGTACAGAAATATTTACAGTTTAAGAATTATAACAAGCAACTAGATTTAATCAATATTTCAGCAAGCATATACATTCTTCATAGGGTTACTGTAGGAAGAATGGAACTTTTGTCTTGCTTCTGTAAATGTCTACTATAATATAAGCAAACAAATCATCAGTAATACTTAAGACACCTATAGCCTGTAGTTTTTAAAGTAATAAAATAAATACCCAATGACTTGAAGCCCTTGTGGTCTTCCAGCATTACTGGGGTATGACAAAATGAGCAGAAGGCCAAATTCATTTTTTGCTTCAAAGCCATGATGTTGCTAAAAACAAGACAGTGTATGAAATTTCAGGTATTTACCAAGTACTGTTATATCCTTATATATATATAAAAAAAAAAACTTGCACAGTAACCCATATTATATATGCAGAGTCACATTAAAAAGGCAACAAATGAGTATTGGAAATCAACTGCATTTGTGTTCTTTAGTGCTTCTCAGCATATACACAGTGTGTATATATACACATACACTGTCAAATTTACAAGGACACCAGCAAATGTTACAGAAATTCAGGGAAACTGAACAAAAAAAAACATTAGCAGAAGTTTGATATCTCATCAAAAGAAATGTCAGACTTGAATGCTGAAGTAACATTTTACCGCTCCTGTTGTGGCATTTGTATTCCTCTCAAAATTTTATGGAGCAGAACTAATTGAGATGAGAAAAACTGGGACGAGCCAGGATTGGCAAGGCAGGAAACGCATCCGCTGGCTCTTAAAACTCTTTGAAGCCTTATGAGAGTAGAGCAAAAGAGTACAACTTTGATGGCTCCGTGAAAGGAGATACAAGAGGATGATCATGGATCTTTGAAAAGGGGATTGCTATGCAAGGCAAACTCGAGAGTTTCATTTAACGATGAAAAATACAAAAATGGAAACCGATCATTAGGTGAGCAAAGCCAATTGTTTCCTATGGTGTGTTCATGTTGATTTGTATTTCCCATCAAAGAGACAGCTTCCACAAACTCGTACAACGGCAATAGAAGTGCCTTCTCACTACTGCTCAGACGAGAAAATCATGAATATCTAGAACATTCAACTGCAAATATTCAAAACAAACTGCCTTTTGCTGAAGTTTAAAATGATTTAACAAAATTAACATTCTAGAGCACATAAAATACTAGAGGTGGCAGCACAGAAAAATTGGGTGCGTTTTTGTTGTAACAGTGCAAAAAATGTAAATCAAATAGAGTAGGTAGGTTCCTAAAGGAACCATATAATATATAATTAATCCCACTCTTCGACATCACGCAACACCCCCAAGAAGGTGCATTGTGGGTGAAATTGTTTTCAACGTGACAAAAAGGCACTGACCTCCAGCTGACCTGAACCCTGCTGAGATTCGCACAAGATGAAACTGAGACAAAGCAGCAGCGTACTGTGCAAAAAAAAAAGTGCTCTGGGAGATGATTAGGTTCACATGGGGAAGTAGGTAGGTCGCAACACACTTCTAACCTTTCACATCAAGTAACAGCACGCCTTGTGTATGGGCAGCTGTCTCTGTTAACACACTGATGGGAGGCAACAGGAGGGGGGGGCTTTCAAGTCCCTTCACAAAATACCAGCGAACCATCACGTCTCTCTCTCATGAAGGCCAAGACATTACCGCCACGTACTGCCAATCCTTCCTTCAACTGTATTTCAGTAACATTTCCTGGTGTCCTATGATTCCAATCGGGAGTGTACATGCACACATACGCACACACTCGCTCGCGGTTTTACAGATACTGATAGAACCGTGACCTCACAACATGGGCGCCGGATAACTTGTGCGGGTGTGCGTCCGCCGAGAGGCTGAGGCTCGTTTTGCTCTTGCTCTGAAGGCTGTCGCCGTTCGGCTGCTCGGCTGTGCGGGGGCCGGGCGACGCGGAGGGGGGAGGCCTGCTGATCGCGGTTAAACCGCCGGGGCCCTCAGCATCATCCTGGGCGGAGAAAGGCGTCGTCGACTTGGAGGGGCCTTCGTCATCTCTGGCGGCTGCCCGTGGCTCCTTTGCCGAGTCCACGTCGACTTCGGGGTTGCTGGCACGGCAGCGCTCCCGCGCAATCCAGTCCCTGATGGAGAAGTCCTGCGAGTGGCACTTGGGCTTCAAGCGGTCCACCGCGGACAGCTCCGACTCCAGATCGCCCCCTCCCTGCTCGCGGCCCCTCCAGTCATTCATGACGGCCAGCTCGGCAAAATCCCGCTGCCCGCCCATCGTGTGCCTGCGCTTGATGCTCTTCTTCTTGCGCGTCTCGGGCGACCTGGCCTTCGGCGGCCCGATTCCAAACATGTCATCCGCCGAGGTCTTCAGCCGAAATTTTAACCGCTCTGTAATCTTCAAACGCCAGGCCGGCTCCTGCTTTTCGGACTCGCTCCTGGCTGAGGAGCTCAGGCTCCCAGTTGACTTTCCTTTCTTCATCACCTCCAGGACCCGCGACAGCCTGTTCGACTCCTTATCGCTCTTTCCCTCAGCTGAAGACTCGCTGTCGGTTTTCTGATGGATCGTTTTTTTCCTGTAGAGCACGTCGCTCTCCGACAGCTTCTGAGATGGAAAGATTTGCCAGCCGTCTAACTTCAGCGTGGTACTTCCCTCGGTGCCCACAGGCTCGCTCCCGTTGGACCCTCTACGACGTTGCTGTGCTTTATCCTGGAGGGACTCCCGCAGAATCCTCTCTGGAGCCGAGCAGGATGCAAACACGGAAAAGTCGCTCTCGCTGTCCGTCTCCATCGGTCTTCCGTCACTGATAAGCTCACTCCGCTCATCATCTGCCTCGTCTCCTTTACTTTCTGCTACCGACTGGACCTCGGGGCTCAGCATGCTGGACTCCATGCCCGTTAGGTATGTCATGGATGAGGTGGTAGAATAATCTGAGGTGATGGAGCTGATCTCTGCCGCAATGGACTCATTGCCTTTGATGTCAGGGGTTGTCCACTTTTTAGGCCGTGCCCTATGGATAGAGGCCTGGGAACTTGTGCTGTTCATTGTCCCCAAGTCTGACACGGCATCATCAAACTGCGAAGGGGGGTCAGAGAGAGAGGATTTGCCACCTTGCTGCATTCGAAAACTAGGGCTGGGAGAGCTGGTGCGTTTTGGGCTGGGAGAAGGGGAAGGAGAGGGCTGTGCAGAGGACGCTTTCTCTTTCAAGAAAAACGAGTTTCTGTGGTCCTTTTTGGCCTTGGTCCTCAAATCAAAACTCTTATTCTGTTCTTTGTCATCCTGAGTCTCCTTTGTCCATCCTTTTTGGTTTGATGCGCCAGTCTCTTTCCCTGCTTCTGCACTGCCATCCTTAGACCACACAGTGTCATGGTTCTGCCTTGAAGGCTCCTTCTGCAGAAACACATTGTCCAGGTCATCATCTGAACTGCTTGGCTGTGGCTTCTCCTTCTGTTTCTTCCTTTTACGGCTTGCGGCAGCAAAAATAGAGGACACCAGCAGATCTCTGCTGTACTGATCCTTTCCAGATCCCCAAGACCCCTATGAAAGAAAGAACTTGAGGTTAATTCTTAGTTACACATCAGCAGGGAGCTCAAATCCCTTGAACGCCTACATTAAGCTAAGTAGTAGCTAAAAGAATTGCATCTTTCATTGAAAAAATCTACATCTACAATTCTCAATTAAACAGTGAAGGATCTTCTACAAGGATTGGTCAAGCAAGTCACAAGCTGCGTAATCCTTTAACTAGGCAAGTCTAGGATATCAAGTTCTCATTTACAACGCTGACCTGGAGACCCGTTTGCACAGCAGGACATTTACTGCAGCAATGTTAGTGAAGTACCTTGCTCAAGAACACAGTGCAGCAGCAACCCGACAGGAATCTGAACCCACCACGACTTGGTCCAGAGCCTTAACAACTAGATCATACTGCTGCCCATATTAAGAGAACAGTGCTTAATTTCACCCTTTAGATAAGTTCTTAACATAAGAACATAATGCAAGAACAATTCAAAGATGAAGAAAAACAAAGATTATTTGTGAGAGCCCAAACATGTTTTAAACATTGAGCACAAATATTCTCATCCTATAACAACAGAATGGCTTAAGTTCAACTACACAACATAATGGGCCTGAAACAAAAAAACAAAGATACCGTTCCAGCTAAATTCAGTCCTCCCTCTTCAATGATATTAACTTCACACCATTTTAAGACTAAGCCATAAGGGTTTCACAAAAAACGTGATGCACGTTTTCAAAGTATTTGTAGTGGTGTTATCCAGACAGAGGCAACTACAGAAACAAAAATCTGGTGTTACTAATTCACGTTTCACATTCGATATTCTGATAATATATATTCGTGGAAATAATGCACTTTTTGCGCTTTAATATTTTTTCTAGTTATCATATGACAATTTTACAAAAACAGAATTTATGTTCCGGCACATCTACAGTCACATCCAGTGAGCAAGCTAATGATCCAATGATCCAAAGTACAGGTTCTGTTTATCGTAAAGACTTTTTACTCCTTAAACTAATTTGCTGCAAAGAGGCCATTATTAAAATCATAACACATGATGTGGTTGGCAATCTGATATTCCATTGACCCTGGAAAGTCAGGCTAAACGGGTGTGTACTCAGATCTCTTACCTGCTCAATTACAACTAATGTCAGCCTTTTGTGTAAAAGATCAACACTCAAACAGCAAATGCAAAGACTCACCTTTGATTTTGCAGAGTCACTAGTGGCTGAATCTGAAATGGACAGAACAAACACAATCAGCCAAATATTCACCACCTGAATTTTTCAACTTAAATGAAACTGAGAAAGACAGATCCACACATCCACAATGCAACAGAGAAAGATCAGAAGATGTCGAACAGTCAGAGCTCACAGAGATGAAAGCACCACAGAAAGCCACCGCCATGAACGAGAATGCTGTGATTTGTGAGAGGAACCTGTTCAATGAGAATAATGGAAAGGGAACCCTGTTCTCCAAGACAGAAAGCAGATCATGCATTATTTTACAAGCATTGCTTTACACTTAAAAGAATTGCATTCACTAGCATTGGCATTCTTTCCCAACTCAAAGAAGCTATGAAGCAAAAATCAGCTTAAATTTTTAACCTAACATTTGAATTTGAAGTGCCCCTTTCCCCCATTTTCAGTTCAAGTGTGTGGTGTGTATGATGAATTCACCAGCAGGCCATTCATAATTTCCACTTGCAAATACAGGTATACAAAACATTTGGTACGTGTACAATGTGTGATTGAGTGTGCCTGCTGAAGAGCAAACATGGAAAATCTATCCACATGATCCAAAAGCAAAAGGAAATTTCAATTTCTTCGATACAATTTCAAAACCCCCGTTTGTATATAGAAAAGGAAACCTTTGCTTTCCTTGCTCTTCAAACTAAAATGGAAGTGACAATCTACTTTAACATGTAATTCATGATATGGCTTGATTATGTGATGTGAAACGTGAGAAAATGTCTATACAATGCAAGTTTAAAAAATGGAAATATCACTGGCTATGTTTGAGTTAATGATGCACAATGCTCATGACAACTACAACACCATGGTCTTTAAAGAAAAGTTGAAACTGGAATTTTACTACTGCCCTTTACATTTTGAAGACCAGTTATATTATGAAAGGCCTGAAGACATTTACGGGACTGAAACATGTGTCTGCATTTAACAATCGAGGCGAGCAAAGCGATTTATTTACCTATTATGTTTTAAGCTAACTGCAACTAAGGTTAGAATTATTAGCATGAAGGTTTCTCATTTAGCCTGAACATAAACATGATGGGTTTCTTACAAAACGTTCACTACGCCTTTTAAAAAGGCCTCAAGGTTTATTTGGGGCAACACCAGGCACGAGTCGTGTTCTGAACGACAACCGCTCCCCGGTTCGAAGCAAATAAAACCGAGATTCCTAAAAAAGGCTTCACCAACACGATTTTCCTATTCCCAGCTGCTGCGGCCCCGTTTCGAACGGTGAAGGGTTGTGGAGCTGTGGTGTGAGATGCAGGATGAAGACTACAGAGCGGATATGAGGAACGGAGGCCAGACATGACAGGGGGCAGAAAGGGGCTAGCTAAGAGAGGCGTCGACAGGAGGGGCAAACGAAGGCCCTCCAAGGCACAGATCAAGATTCGTTCCAGATTTGTGTGTTTGCTTCACACAATTAAAACTTTTGCTTTATCAGATTGGTTTCGTTTGTATTTTTCCTTCATTGGAAGCAAGCTCAGCCCCGGCACCACACCCCTTGAGACACATGGTTTTTTTTTAAATGCTACACGACTATTACAAAACTGGCGCACCATACCATGCTATTTCTCCTCAGGGTCTGCTTCAGAAATAATAAGAAACAGCAGAAACACTTTCAGAAAGTAGCATTGGTCTGTTGGAAATATTCTTAAAAGTAAATGTACACCACGGATGACAATAATTGTTTTGTTTTTGGATTTACAAGAAACGGGGGTTTCTGCAGACTAGGCAGCTACATTGGGGGCAACAATCCTCCTTCTTCCTACAGTTCCAGCTGTCCATCAGTGACATAACAGAATCCATCAGTGACATCACCGTGTGATAGACTCCTCCCACTTGGCCTGTTTCAAGATCAGTATGTGTAAATGCTGGAAAGCCCTTCAAACACTCAACAAGAAAAACTAGAGACAAAGGGATCAGATTTTTTTTGGGAAAGAACATGCCGGGTTAGTGCAACAGTAGGCAGGATCACACTCAAAAGAGTATTGAAAGAAAAAAAAAAAGCCTATGAAAATCAAACTAAGGAAAAGGACAGGAAGACCAATGAAATGTGCAGGAGGAAACAAAAATCAAATTAAAATAATCAAATCAAAAGTCTGCTCGTTTTAAATAAAATGGTAAAAATAAATCAAATTCTACACAACAAGAACAAACTATTTTAACTATTTTTTTCCATTTATTTTCAAATGGACTCTTACCAGATGGCTACATTCTACAAAAGTCAAAATAGTTTGCCCTTCAGAGACTGACAAATGCTTTGAAAGCTTTTTTCATTTTACAAGAAATACTTTAATGAAAAGCAAATGAATGTGGCTATCATTCTGAGGATTACACTACATTACTCAGCATTAATATAATAGCCCTACTATTTTTACACACTTCCATTCTAAGCAATAACTTCCACAACAATCTTTCAGCTTACAGTTGTAAATGCAATAAAGACGTCGTTGTTAACCCACCCCACAGATCATCTGGTGCAGGCCAGTTACCTGATACATCTCCTGGAGAAGTGCCAGTCCTCCCAATGTTGGGGAGCAAATGATCTATATTTGGCACTGGCTGAGACTCAACTGTATTCTCCTCACGGACTGGGGTCTACAATTGGAGAGAGAGGAGGCAGTGAGCCTTCAGGGTGGAGTCCCAGAAAGATGCTCTTCCCAGAGATCACAAACAGATGATTCTGAGACAATGGACATGTCAACACTAGCATAATCCTAGACCCCAGCATCTTAGGTTTGGTTATATATGGTGCATTGCAGATTACTCTATTCACCCAATGAGCCAAGAACAAAACAGAAAGGTTGTAAAAGAATGTTATAGATTGGATATTGTGACTTGCTTCTCCTGTCTGGAGAAGGAAACAAGTGGTCTGGGAGGCAGCAGTACTGTTAATCTAAAGGCAGCAGCTGGAGAGCTCCAACACAAACTGGCATCTTTGCGATATAAAGTAAATGCTGAAAACCACCACAGTGAAATGTGACTGGGGGGACTGTAATGGGTGGAGACTGTTTGGCATCCCAGGGCCCCAGAGTAATTGTCAAAAAACACAAGATCCTCATAGCTCATTACAGGCAGCGCCTTAAATGCTACAGCAACCCTTCAATTGATTTAAATTCTAACTACAGGGGGGTGAATAAATAGGACCCTCATGTTGTCTGGACTTAATCTATGATTAACGACTTTGCTCCTGTGCAATGCAAATAAAACTGCAGAATACATTTTAGATTTTTTTTTAGACAAAATATAATGAATTCTATAAATCTGTTACGTTATGTGTAAAGTTACGCACTTTATCTGGGCTATGAATAAATCTGAAGCGCACAGCACATAAGGAATGGGAAATCATTTTTACAGCACAAAAGAGGCTGTGAGGATGTCATTGACTCGTGTTTCAATGAACTGACTGGCATACAAGATCAAAAATATACCAGCAAGCCTGCACCAGCAGTATCAGTTCATCGAGCAGATTCATGCCACTACTATACATTTTTCTAACTAGAATGTTTCACCAGAGAGAGTCGTCTGATTCTTCCACCCTAAACTGATGTCAAACACACGAAACTACCTTCAGCTACACAAAAACTCTTCTTCATAAAGGCCTTTTAGAGCTGTTAAGTAGGTTGTTCAGCAACAATGAAGCGCAGGAATGAAAGAAAGCAGCTGTGCATATTATACTTCTCAGACATACACACCCGAGGGTCTTCGCTGGCTCCTTCTGTGAAAAACCAATCATACTGAAACAGAGAAGAGAAAAGGCATCTTCACAATCCGCTGGATTTAAACAAACAAAATAAACAGATGACACCACAACTAAGAAGACATACATGCTGAATTAGTGTCTCCACTATTTTGTACTGGTCAGGCATGTGAGTCACCATGTGAGTCATGTTGTCCTCGGACGTTCTGACCAGGGTTGGGCCAAAAACTATTGCAAGGTTCCGCGGCTCCATCTATAACACAAGGAAAAGTGTTCAGTACTGCACATGGACACACAGGGGTGTCTGGTTCAAGCCATCAATCAATCCATATTAGCGAGCAGTGGAAAAATAAACTCTTACATTTCCCCCTTAAAAATGTTCTTCACCAGTTATTCTTCATTTTTACATTTTATTCTTAATATAGTGTAAGAAATGCAAACAATATGGCATCACAATCACTGCTTAGTTACATTTTCAATATATTCTCTTGAGAACTGTCCTTCGCATTACTTCACCTTGTTTTTTTCTGAGTTTTCAGCCACAGTTTTGAGATGTGCAGAGAGGAACTTCAGAGTCTCATAATGATGGTCTGGCAGCTCGTGAAGCTATAAAAGAAAGGGTTTCAATGGGCTCTGCCTAAATCAATTATACATAAAACAATGCGGCCACTGCTGTAGTGCCACATACCAGTCTTTTCAGTATTTTCAACCTCTCAACTGCGTCTTCAGTTCTGTTGGCGTCTATGAAATCGGCATATTTTTCTAGAAGAAGAAAAGATCATGAACAGACAATCCAAAAAACAATGAAGTACCCAAAACACCCACTAGATGGTGGACTTTACAACAGATTCCATGTCCAAGCAGGAAGTCATTAATGCTGTCACTTCTGGGAGGAACCATCTGACAAAATACCTACAACTACATATATACATTCACAGAAAAGACTTCATGATGCTTTTTAATTGCATGGTCCTAGACAAGCCAAATGTCCTCCTCTCTCCTGTCTTATAGTCTTAGATTTGGCTGTCGCCGATCAAAAAAATATTCTTAAAAAATCCCAGCAATGCTTATAGTTTAAACTGCAATGCACAATTAAATTAGCTTTTTCAAGCGAGTCAAAAATACTACCTGAAAGACACTCTACAAAAACGTATCAACTCTTATGTTTTTTAGCAAAGATGATCAATGCCCAACTCAATAAATCAGACTGAAATGACCTACGAATTGCAAATTCTATGAATCAGGAAGCTGCATGCTCTCACCGTTTGTGAAGAGAGGCTCTGGAAGTTTTCGGAAAAAGGATTTTAGCAAGCTGCTGATCACATTCAGATCCCGCCATTTCTGCCCAAGTCAAGAGAGAGAGAGTGGGGTGAGTTGACCTGAGCCCCTGTGCAGAAACGCGCCGTTCAGGGACGAGCACGAAACGGGCCGGAGGAGCACACTCACATCGTCCTGCACGTCGATGTCGCTCATGCCCTTGTTATTGAGCTCCTCCTGCATGCTGGAGATGGCAGAGTTGTTGCCTGGAACACGATAAATACCTGTGTACTCCAGACCCCTCTCCTCCACCAGCTTGCAGCAGATCTCCACGATTAACGGCACGAACTGGAACACAAAGGACACCGCGTGGTCACGCACACAAACCCTTACACACTTTACATACTGCACTGAATCAAGCAGAATCCGTTCGCCAGAGCAGGAGGGAGAAAAAGTCACCTTTTTCATGTCACCTGGGACATCTTAAAGAAATGAAAGATCAGGTGCACAAAGGTGGAAGACAAAAATGCTAACAGACTAAGGACTAAAATCAGCTCCAGGAACATTTAATTTGTAAAGGGGACTCAGGACAGACAGAATGCCCTTATAAGAACAGGGCTCAGAGTTCCTTCATCTGAAGCACCATGCATCAAGCATCCCTTTGGTCATACCCAAAATCATTGAAATCATTTAGTCAAATTTTATTAATACAATGAATTTTCTGTTGACTTCTTGAGTTAAACAAGTAAAAAAAAAAAGCCTAGTAGCTACCTGAAAATTAGTAAAGTGACAGTGAACTGCGCCTTACTTTGTTTGTTTGAGCAGGTGGGCAGTCGTCCAGTCGAACTCCAAAAGTCACCCCAGCTGCAGTCTTCTTTTCAAAAGGTTTCCTCATTAGCCCAGGAATGCCTTTCCTCCAGGTTCCCTTATCCTTTGGTGGACTGCTGTCATCTGGAAAAGGTAATAGTATTACATTTTCTACTACAAAAAAAGCTGTCCCAGAGAGCTCAACTTGCTGAAGCTTCATGAGCAATGGTCATCGGCAAAGGACAATAGCAGGCATGACGCACAAACCCCATGAGTGTGATAATCCGTGCATTAATTCAACGCGAGAGGCAAAACAGGCAAGCATATACAGATCAAAAGACTTCAAATTTCAACCTGGGGCCTGAGCTGCTGGTTTCATCAAAAACTGCACAGAATACCACAGAGCAGTATACCTACCATAGTCGGGTTGCAGTGCACAAACTACTCATCACACCTGACAACACAACTCTATGAGGACAGTGGTGCAAAGAGCACCAGAAATGATTTCTCAAGCAGTGGAAAATGTGATCTGGTCCGATGAATTATCCTTCACCATGTTGTTGACAAATGGATAAGTGCACATAAGGCATCAACCATAAAGAACTCCACATCCCTGAGTAGTTCTAGCAGTTCTGTAATGCTGTGGAGCGCATGATTTGGGTGCATATTCACAAATGCTCATAAAAAAGCTTTAAGAAAGTGAACAATGTGAGGATTTACACTACAAAAGTGTAGATATTAAAGCAAGGAATGTCATCTCAAAGTGGTATAATGCTTGCAGGACCTCGTTTAGAATACCGCATACAAATATGGTCACCATGTTATTAACAAGTCTTCTGGCATGAGAAACGCTATTTAATTTCTTGACTTTATGAGGTATTGCTGCTTTGGAGCCGGTCCAGAAACAGGAGATCACACGTTCCAGAGAAAACCAGGAAGATGAGAGAAGAGCTCCACTGCACCACCCGAAGTTAGGGGTCACTACCTTTATGGAGCGGCTTTCTTTCGGAATCGTGCTTCGGCGAGTGCGGGCTCTGGGCCTTGGGATCCCCCTTGCCTCCCAGGAAAGCCTGCCGGATGGACTGCCGGGACGGCTTCGGCGAGGGCTCCGTCCTGCTGCTCGGCGAGCTGGGAGACGGGTGGAAGCGTCAGCCGCGCACGATGGGAGAAGGACGGTGAGCACAGGGGTTTCCGACAGGCCCCTCCGGAGCACTCACCTCATCATCGTGTTGTACTCCTTTATCTTCCGGCTTATTAGATCTCGGCTGGTAACGGCCGCGTTCTAAAACAAACCACAATGCCTGGGTGAACTCCTAAAACCTCATTTTGGTCAATCGAAAAAAAAAACCCCAACAAATCTCATTTTATGTACTTGGATAACATTACAAAAACCTTAGGGAAAGTATCGACATTCTTTAACCTCATGTACTACAACACGTTACGACAGAAGACATGCACATTTTCCCAGCACAATTCCCTTGCGAATGTGGAAGACAACTACGTCGTGTACTGTGCTAGGCTCATCAGTACAAGTAAAAGAAAGCAAACATTCAGGGATTTGCACAGAAATAACATTTTTACTTCTGCGTTCAAGAAACGCGGGAGCACGTCCTGCGCAGGCCTGCCCACCTCTTCATCCAGGTTACTGTTCTCCTGAATGACCCGTATCCAGGAGAGCATGTCCTCCCTGTCCTCGGCCTGGAAGAGGTGCTCGCAGTCGGAGGTGGTGAGGCGGAACACGTTCTTGCGCTTGGTGTCGCTGTAGGAGATGTCGATCAGGCAGGCCCTGATGCTGATGGGCTGCTGCAGCTCCTCCTCGGCCTGGGAAGAGCCGTGCGCCAGCGCCTCCTTCTTGTCCTTGTAGAGGCACAGCGAGGGACCTCGCAGCACCGCGTACATCTGCTTCCACGGGCGGATCCCGCCTCCCACGCGCTGCCGCACACAGAAAAGGAAAGACGCGGCCAAGTTTAAAACGTCCGTTCCAGACGAGGTCGCCACTGTGCGACAAGACGGAACACTGGGGCAAAATGTCAAAGGTGTTAAATGAGAAATTTCAATGAAAATAAAAAACACTCTACTTTCTACAAACAAAAATTCAATTTTTCATCTGTGAGGTCTACAGCACTTGAAACATCCAATAAACTCATTTCTGGACATGTCAAGTGCTTCATTCTTGCATGAAGTCTTCAGACAAGAGCAGGCCATTTGGCACACCTACGGGGTTTGGTGTGCAGCTGATCTGACTGATGTGAGAATCGCACCCAGACATTTCGAGAAGTAGATCATGGTATTTGTTTCAACAAAGCTTGTTCAAGTCCCTCAGAACTCCTTATACAGAGAAGCATCTCTTCTTTCCTTAAGATCTCCACTACTGCATTTCTCATGAAGCAATGTGGATACAATTGTTCACTATTCACAATGAAGCAAAAAGAGGAGACTATTTTTAAGTCTAAGATTGTTTATTATTTCCAATAAAAGCCTAGAATTTCCCATTTTTATCAAGAGGCTGCCTTTAAAAAAAAAGTACAATAAAAACCTCTATTTTCATGAGTTTCTACATTCATAATTTCAAGTACTTTCACAAAATGACTCATTCAAGGGTTGCACAGGAGGAGAGGATATGCGGACCCCCCCCATCTCACTGATCTACTTCGCCCGACCTGCATCAGTCTCAGTAAAGGACTATCTTGGTTTGTATGGAAAGTGGCGTTTTAACATTGCCTCTAATTTGCAGGAAACTCACTGCAGAAAAACATCAGGGCAAAAGGGAAAACTGTATATTTGTAGACATTTTAAACAATCTTTCACCGATACATAAAGAAGCACGTTTTCAGGAAACTGGCACTTTAGATCACATTTCTCTGAAAGGAACTTTTCCCTCAAGACTTCAAATATGACAGTTTACAAGGGGATATTTGCTACATAAAATTAAGTTGGTCTATAAGGTGGCAACATCTTTTAATCTTTTGCAGAGCTACTCTGACTCTTGCAAAATGCATCACTATAATTTGGTCCTTGGTTTAATTCATAATTGATAAATTGACAACCAACTTGATTTAATAATTAAGGCACCGGTTGAGTTGAAGTACAGCAGTATAACAGCCTGGGGGGGCCACAGGTTCAGCAGACTTAATCCAGTGCATTAACAAGTAACAGGTTGCCAGTGTTTAAATGCATTCATCTGCTGTTGAACAGTTTTCAACTAGTTTCCCTTGGGTAACAGTGACAGTATGTAACTACAGCACAAGCCACCATGCCCACTACTGTACTGTGAAGCAAATAAAAACTGCAAATGCAAGTGTGTGGGTACAGAAAAATTCTGATTTACATTCTCTAGAGAACTATGAATAAAAGGATGTTATTTAGCAAACTTACAATTACACTAGTTTTAAGGTTATTTGGAAACAGTACAAAAAACATTTCTGTGGGAGCTGATTAGCTGATCTGGGCACTTGAGATATTTCTGAATAAAGCAGAATGAATACAGACAAACTGCAAGTTTTTCTGTAATACAAGCTTATGAAAGGATCATACAATGGAATTAACAAAAAAAACATGTTCAAGAACATAAGCAGTAAAGCTGCAGGAAATATGGATGTAACCAAAACACTTCTAATGAAAGCAAAATGACTAGATACTGGAGTTTGACAATCAACTCAGCTCTTAGGCTATAACAGCTAGTTCCACACCTAATTTTACCAAATGAACAGCTTTTTGCCAGCTCGAAGTGCTGCTGTTTTAAAGGGACCTACAGAACAGTTAGACACTAGGCCAGACAACCACGGTCTGGACAAACACTTCCACGGAAAGATGTGAAACCATGTAAAGAGAACGTTTAAAAACATCCCTCTCTTTAATGTTTCTGAAGGGAAAGTCAAAAATAATTCAACCATTAGTGTTTATTACAGGCTGATCAACTTATGTTCAGCAAGGCAGCTTCTACAAATGCTTATAGCAATGGAGTTCAGAAAAACGAATATTGTTAATATCCACGTCCTTTAATTTCTGTGTTAAATGTTTAAAAGCAATGGGTTTCAGATCCCTTCCATTTTCCCAGGACTTCTCTCCCACTCAAGAGCCTGTGCCCTACAGAGCTCTGAGCTGCACGTTCAGAAAAGGCTCTTACCTTGCTCTTGTCTGTGGACAGCTGGCGGAAATGAAGCCACCCTTCCTTAGTCGCATCACTAAAAACATCAGAGGAAGAATCTCTTCTCGACCCCGAATCTTCAGAAGACTTCTGGCCGTCCACAGCCTAAACACGAAAACAACCGTTACAATTCCTACAGACGAAGAAGCCTGAAGCAACATCATCTCCACCGGGGAAACACTTCTTTACCAGTGACATGCTGCCCATCTTGCTTGCCTGCCTGCACACCGGCACTTATTACATACTAGAAGACGCGCTGTACAGCGAATCTCTCCGGCCTTCGGCTGGACCTCCTCCTCGCAGCTCTCTGGCCACTTGAGAAGCGTGACTCTGCCCCTCCTGAGCCCTCAGGCCCGCGCGGGGCGGCAGCTTGGGCCCGTCACGGGCAGAGGCAGTCCCAGCGGCACGGGCACAGCGGAAGAGCAGCAGGAGGGGGGCTTTTCATTTCACTGCCAGCAACTACTGCTGCACGCTGTATTGTTGTGCATTTGATACATAAACTTTGATTGTTGCAAAAAGCTGTGCCTCAGAGGCATTCAACAGCTGAAAACCCACTATATTCACAGGGATACAGGCAACAGACATTTTTAAACAAGTAACAAGCTCTCCTCTTCCCCTCGTAACATGTTTCTTGAACTTTTGCGGCATAAAAGGAGAAGAAATATTAAGAGGTACAACTTTATTACACTGTAATACCAGCACACTGCAAACTACTACTGCTTAAACTGTTGGGTTTGACAGTAGAGTGATTTAAAGGAGAGCTGGGCACCATGGTATGACATCTTTATCCTCCAGGGCTGACTGAGGGAGACTATGCCTTTAAGAGCCTGTTGTCCGAAACACTCATGGTTTTTAGGTGCATATACAGTAGCTACATACCACACAGCAATGCTAAATCCACTTCATTCCCCTGACCATTTCATCTCCCTTTATACTTTTACTTTAAGGGTTATAGTGATTATCCTTATCACTAAGGCATCAGCCCCACTATTACATTATAAGGAGCCGTACAGTTTATAGATGTGTAGATCTTTTTATAAACACACATTACCTGTGCTTTGAAGTCAAGAACAACACTGAAGTATAGGACAAAAACACAATACCCCCTTTCTCCAGATGACTGAAATGAACGGAAGAAGCTTTGATGGTCTTCATGCTGTATTCACCTTAACTGAAAGGTTTAAATGCAACTCTGTTCCTCCTTTCAACTCAGAAACTTGCTTCATTCATACAGACAGCTTATTATTCCAGAGGCCATGTCTTTACTTTCAGGGGACATGAATACCTTAAATTACACACTACAGGTTTCAAACACCAGAGCTTCGAGTTTCTGCTTTTGTTTTGTCACCTCATTCATGCTTTGGGAACTGCTGTAGCCTTAATTCCCGATATAAATTTAGGACACAGAATTTGAATATGAACTAAAAAAATAGATTTAGATTTAGGACAAGGGTGAAATCTAAAATTTAGAGATTTTAAATCTTTGAATATTTGTTAATTTGAGAAAAAGGCAATAAAAGCCATAATGGTGACCTGAAGCAGAAAAATCCCGAAAGAAGCAATGGGCTTCTTTTAAACAACAAGAACATCTTGAAAAAATTGAAGTTGAACATTTTTTTTGCTTAAATAAGTGCAGAAAGCAGAAACTGCCTGAACAATGTGTGGCTCGGGATAATGTGTTTGTTTGCACTCACCGGCCTTTTTTTTTACACGAATAAGTACAGAAGGAACTTGCGGTCTTCTTCACACAGTGTTCGAAAGTATAAATCAGGGGTGTTGAGTTCAGTTTCTGGAAGACCAAGTGTCTCCTAATGTTTGTTCCAACTTGAGTAGTCAAACAACTAAGATAAATCTCTTAAGACATGGGCTCTTAATGGCTTCAAGGACTTACTCAAAATATTCACTGCACTTAATGTACACCTACCAGTGAATCACCTGTGATACAGTTTAGAAATCATTATGCAGTGAATTAAATGATTATAATAACTATGTGGCTTGTGTGGAACAAAAAAAAAACAAGAATATCAATGTGCAACTCTTGAAATAAAGTTATCAGGGTGTGACAACATGGGGAAAAAAAATAGTCCTATCCAACACTAACATTCTATATCTATGCTTGTTATAGTAGAAATTATTATACATGTATTTATTGGCAAACAAAAAGGACAAGCTTGATATTTTACAGGGCATGCTAATTTCATACCCATGTAGGCTGACTGTACAAGCACAGGCAGGTATCCGATAACTGCCCTGTGCATATAATAATGACTGCACACAGCTCCTGTAAGATATCTAGCTTAGCTACGCATGGAGAAAGGACGGGGAAATGGGACAAAAGACTTTCAGCACGTTTTTCAAAACACACTCACAAATACAACTTATTTTAATATTCAAATCTGAAAGTGGCTTTCATCCTGATGAAACACTTGACTCAGGACAATACTGACTTGAACTGTTTGACTCACCTTTTTAATTCCCTTCAGACTGGACACGTGTTTAATGGATGATCTTCTAACAAGGGTAGAAATAACATTCAATTAGATATCTGCAATATCCCTTCTTAGGAACAAAAAAATAACGGGGAAAAAGCCAACTTACGATCTTCCTTCTTCTCTGTAATTATCCAATCCTTCATCGTACGATTTTGATCGCTCTGTTTTCGTACCAGACTGGGACTCCAGAATAGTGATCCTAAGAGAATCTTCAGGTGAAGATTAAAGAAGAAAAAAAGAAGAATACAAACGACTTCATTACAGCTGCCAGAGAGTGCAGGAGAATGTCATGTGAGCAATGCCATGTCAAGTACATCAATGCCAACCCAGCACACGACAGAAACCCAGGTGGAGTCCAGCCCTTACCTTGGTCATGAGACAGCTGGCGCCGAATGACAGGAGATGGAGAGGTTGGGCTGGGGGGGATTGTAGTTATGGCTGGTGCGACAGAAATCACAGCAGAAGCTGGAATGTGTGCGACGTCATGGTCAACGCTGGGGCTGGAAGGCTCATCTGGAACAACGCAACACACGCAAGGGGTTACTGACTGCGGTCAACATGTCACGCCAACACGGCCTGCTCTGTTTGCTTTGCCGCAGCTGAGACACCCTTTACAAGTACTGCAGAGGGCCGCACTTCCCTGTGGACAATGAGGTTCGCTCTCCATTACTGCGTGTTAACTGCACAAGTAACTGTTGAAAACGTATGAAATAAAATCCACTGATCAGAATACTACTGAGATCAATGCTGAAAAATGAACCAGTCTCCACTATCACTCAGTTGCGAACATAGGATATTTAATATTTAATAAACGTACCACAAAGGAAATTGTTTTCAAGTACTCGATTATAAAATGATCAGTGCCTCATGAAGAAAAAACTACTAGTTCAAGATAAGCATATTTGGTTTTCCAATATTACAACATTAAAAAATTGAGACATTTTACCACTGTAACACTGCACATTCACATGCTTACTGATCAGGTACAACAACAAGCAGTGTACTGTAAATTTTCAACATGCTGAAACTCCTTTATATTTTGTCTCCTTTATATTTGTCTATAGCACATGGAAGAAATCTCAGTGTAAGTTTTCAAATCCTTACAGTAACTGCTACAGCTCCGTCACCAGTTATTTTTAATATCTGAAATGCAAGTGGCTTTATAAAAGGTACTTCGATGGATAATAACCTACTTATATAGCTCCTTTCCAAACCCAAGGACACCGAAAACTATACACAACATAAAAACTTTCACTACTTTTATTTTTTAAAACTGGTTGTGAATCTTACTAAACAACTGTAAAATGATGCCTTAAGGCTCAGAAGAATCGAAGCAAGGCAGCACCTGGCCTAAACCTAAAGATTCCTGCTTCGGCATCTTGCTACTCAAGAAAAAGCACATCAAGTAGCCGTAAGGGAGCAAATATGAGAGATCCGGTCTGACACTCCCCGACACTTTATTTGGAGACTTGTTCCAAGTAAACAGCAAGTAGCGACACTTCATTTCCCAAACTGAAGTGCTCATCTGACTTATCAGATGACCTAACAGCTGCAGGCCTGAGTAATTCACACGCACAAAAAGAAAAATCACAAAGCCAAAGGTGTCACGATTGAAAAGAAAAGAAGGGGCAGCTTTCACAACGCTTCCTTTCAGTCTTTCGTCACGGCTATTGGACTTGCATGCGTCGTTGCGCCATCAGCTGACGAGAGGCCGTGAAACGTCAAGCCTCACAGATGAACCTAACTCAGCATGAGCTGCTTCAGGTAGAGAGAGGTTTATTCACACAGGGTTGGACACTCCCTGTCCAATTAGTGCACACGGTCCAAAGCTGTGCAAGGAAATGCTGAACACACAGATGACTGATGATTAATAAGTAACCCAGTTAGATCAGCAATGTCTGGCTTTGTGTCTGTGAGATTACTTGCCCTTTTCTTTCACATCAGGAACAAGCACATACTATTCCTATCTACACAAAGAAAGGCCTCCCTCAGAACAAAAGCAAGTAACCTGTTGATCACACACTTCAAAGGCATGTCTACATTAAGTTAGAATATGTTCAAAATTAGCCAACATCATTACTTCATATACCATCTTATGAACAAAACCCTAGAATAAAAAGTTTTTTGTATTCTTCAACAAAACTTCAATTCCCACAGAACAATCCACAGAGCCTGTACTGAATGAGGACATGTTTTATTTTTGCCCTGTCCCCCTTCTTAAAAACAGGAATGTTCTACATTTTTTCAAACTCCTTCCTGAAATGCCCCAGTGCGCAGCTCTTTTTGAACTTCCAGAGTGCTGCCATGGGGGTTTTGGTTCTAAAATTAAGCTGCTGCCCTAGTTTCTGTTTCTCACTCTTACCCTGCATGTTCAGAATCAAGCGAGTCAGTGATATGTTAATCAGCTGCTACAGCGACCTACCAAGTGGCTCTTCAACTAAATGCTCATAGAGCTGATCGCAGTCCACACAGGTCAGGCATCTCATGTCCAGCAAAGCCCCTGGGCTCCCCAGGCATCGCCACAACGATCCCTCCCTCGTCTGCAGCCGGGATTCTTCCAGCAGCAGCATTTGTGCGAAGACGAATTACCCAGGGACAAATTCCAGAAGGAAAATATTCCACCCAAGTCCATCCTTACTCACAGACTCCAACTGGGGAAATGTTAGTTTTTCTGTCAACCTTTGCACAAACGGCGAACAGAGGCAGTTCTGTGCTTTACATTGGCTATTCTGACTTAACATGATACTGGACATCGAGCTTATTGCTTATGCAGGGCCTCTTCAAACAGCCTATTGAGATGTGCCAACTTCTCAAATACTGGTTTGTTCTTCTTTGCACGTGGACCAACAGAGCGTGGGTTTGGAATTGTGCGGCGTGAGTTCTGTGAGATGCCTTTGTCTGCACCTGCTGGGTGTCCTGTTCAATTTAAATGCAGCTTTCAACAAATCTAGGCTATTATCAATATCTATTCACAATTTTACTCTTCCACTATTTGTTTTCCACTTGTTGAAATCTCACTCAGATCTTTAAGCCACGTCAGGGTTACAGTTTCATACTTGACTTGTATTATATGCCCTGTATGCTGATCTCTCATCTTCTGTTGTTACTCAGATACCCTCAATTGTTCACGCTTTGGAACCCGTTTTAAACCTTGTCATTTGTTAATTTAATTTATAATTTCTAGTGATTCTAAATGTAAGTTGTGCATAGTTTTTCTTGCTCTACAGAATTACAGGGAATCAAAAAGAAAATCTCCCATCTGAATAAAGTTATTTAAAAAGCTGGTTTCGCATTCAACAGCACGGTATCTACACAGGAGCAGGGGTGCAACTCTAAGAAAATTTAGACCATGACAAATGATTCAAAAAGCGCTAAAATTCAAATTGTTAAAAAATGGCACGAACAAACCTGATCCGCTCTAGGCCAGTGCCACTATACAGTAGGTGGCGTCAGCGGAGAAGCTGACTCATCGAGTGTCCCGGCATAACTAAAGCTCAGGGAAGGTCCCATTCAAGTTCCTGCAAGTTCTCCACAGCTCTGAAATCTCACAGCTGTGTTTTCCCATAAATTAACACGTCTCCATTACCATAAGACAGGGATTTATGAATGGCTGACAATTGATTTGCGTAGCAAAAACATTCCCATCATTTCTCACGGCATTCCATATAACCGAAGATCTTTCAGGTGGTATACATTATACCCCACCGGACGTTTGAAGGAAGACGGAATATGCCGCGAGACGTGCGTGGCAAGGAAGAGCGGGGGGCGAGCGGGGCTCCCCGGGGGCTCCCACAAGCGCGGACGGTGCTCGGTGACTCTGTACGCACCAGTCTGAGCCCAGGTCCCGCCAGGACTTGACCTGCTGCCGGGATTCTCCAACAGGCACGGGCCTGCTGCCGGCAGGGTGGCGCTTAGCAGCCCCCCCGCCTCTCCACCGATCGGTGCTGAACCCCCGCACTGGGCTGTGTAGCCTCTGCCACAGCAGAAGACGGAAGAGCAGGCAGGTCAGGGGCGGAGTGAGGCCGCAGGTTCCACAGCCAGCAGACAGGAGGTAATAAATATGCTCCAAATCGGGGATGCCATTTTAGTTTGAAAAACCATTTATGGTCACCGGCTTTAAAAATACTGCGCCCCACTGCACACCTGCAGAAAATGTAGCATTGTAGTGCAACCGATTCCAATACGGCACAAAAGGTGTGTTGTCATGCGACTGCAAGACTTGCAAAGCACTGCTTTCAAAGGGATTCACGATGCTGTCAATGTTTTTGCATTTTCTTGCAAGTATTGCAGGGAGTTGCAAAGCTTTCTGCCTATGACAGGTCTGTCTGTCAATGCACTCTTGTATTATCACCATAATCCCAGCAAACCCTGCGACTGCACAACATGGAAGCATCTGATATACGCAAAAAGCCCAGAAGGCAGCAAGAACCATACTGTTCTACCGCCTGGACATTACCACTGCATTACGATGAATCAACCGGGAGTCAGTTTCCCCGAAAGCTTGGCAGCTACGTGACAACTGCCTGATCACTCTAAAGCTAAATGAAAAAACATGTCATCCTCCACAGCCTACGAGGTTAAATGTGAACAGGCAAACTGCCACCTTCACGTTAAAAGGAATGACGCAAGACTACAGTCTTGAAATGTTACTAACATTTTCTTGGGCTTATATACTAACATTTTCTTGGGCTTATATATGTTACTATATACTGTATGAACAGATCACCAGGCTCATTCTGCAGCATGAAAGCTCTAACATTGAACACAGATCAATCCAGTAGTAGCATCGCATAACTAAACTAAGGCCACAGGTCTGAAATAGTTTTAAAGGTATGGAAATGCCTCTGTTCACTCTTTTGCATGTGGTCACTGTTTAATTCACATTCTTGGGACAGTTTCATTTGGATTACTATTATTGGATTTTGGCAGGGTGTTCTAGTGGTTATGCAGGCTTTACAGACATGAATGTGATACACCAGTAATTAGTGAAAACTGGACAGTAACAGTCTTGTGATCTGTTTTTACTAATCTTTTGGAAGATTTAAAATTGACATCAGGCCAATGGGGTTTCAGACCTGCATAGTCGTGCACAGCTCAACTACTCATCTACTTCAACACACAACAAAAACTTTGCTATAGAAGCTAGATTCTTATTATTTTCACTCACCAAACACTGTACTGTTGATTCTGGTTGTGCAGATGATTGAGCACAACACTGCACGATATCAAGGCTGCTTGCAGAAGAGAGGCTGGAACTAAATGATCAGGAAGGGTAGACAGCTCTCCCCAGACACAGACTGACTGAGAGCAGTAAGCCAATCAACAATCAGGTCCTGTTTTCCAGATGTCAGTGTCTCATGAATGCTGCTAATCTTTGCATCCTGACACAGCGGAAGAACTCTAATATAGAAATTCTTGAAAGGGCACTGAACGAGGTACCAGATTATAAACCGAACAATTGTCTCAAATCTAACCCAGACAGAGCACAGACAGTCTAAGGGTCTTAAAAATGAGAAGCAGCTGGTGTATTTAGAGGTAGTAATGGACCAAGTACTGAGTTACAAAAAAACATACCAATAGATGCCAGGGTTAAAAAGAATCGAGAAAGCTTCCAAACCAAGCAGGTAGCACAGTCTACTCTACGCTCTGCGGCCTTCATGCTGTGGCTGAATGTGCCTGTTCTGCTCAAGTCACCATCAGCATGTTGATGCCACCTTGTGTCATAGGATTCTGTACTCAACAGGCTGCCTCAAAGCCATCAGGAGAAAGCGTGCCTCTCCCTTTCCCGAGAACAGCCTGCTGTCCTGACCCGTATTACTGACCACAGCTGCAGAGAAAACAGGTGAGGAGCCTACAGAGGGAGGACAGCGAGGAGCCAGTGCAGGACTCCCAAAAGCAAGAGGCAGACCCTGAACGGGCAGAGCAGGTGTCAGCAGACGCCACGTGGCCCCTGTGCCACCAACGAGTAGCTGTTCCAGGAAGAGAAAAGCACAATGCCCTGCGGCACTGAATGACACTCCACAAGACATGGCCACGCCCGAAACAGTATCCTGCGCAGGACCCCGGAAGTGCAGGGATGCAAGGAGTCACGGTTGGATGGGTTGAGATGCGTTTAAGATGTGACAAAAAAGCCCATTTCCCGAGGGAGAAGACACACACAAGGTCCTTTCCCCACAGTGTCCTAATGCCAGATCTAGTCAGGGAGATTAAGATAGTCTGGGTACAGCCACTGTCACCCTATGTTATTGCCATGAATGAGGGTTTATGAGTGACCGTTGCCCAATTTCTTCTACTCATGGCTATAGCCAGTGGCTATTCCCGATATGATCTCTGCCTTTCACTTATTTCCGAGATGTCGAGTACAACAACAGGTGTCTGTTGAAAACGCGCTCATGCCAGATCAGGAGTACTGACCCCAGGCCAGAATCACATCTGTACAGAAGGGGACCATATAGCAAGGTTGGGCTATGGACAGGAAAAAGGAAACTAACCAACATGTTTCAATGTGGGAAAACGCCTGAACAAATGTAACGCCTTGATGTGCAACTAGCAAGCCTGGGGTGTCCAGCTCATGGGAGACTGAAACGCTGAGAACGTTTGCAAGAATAAAAGTTCTGACTTGTGAAACCATCGTATGACGTGGTTACTGCACACGTAAAAAGAGCCTTATCTTTACAAAATTACAGCACCACACCAGTAATTTCAAGGTGACTCAGACAAAGTAGACAGCAAGCCTCCGCCTGATCTTGAGCAGTGCTGGAGTCGAGTTTTGGCAGGATGTTGTAGGTAATAATGGTTTTCAGGCCACTCCTCCTGCTCGGTTTACTGATAGTATACAAGAAATGGGCCAGGACTCCCAAGAAAAACAAATATTCCGAGAAGAATAAGAAAGCTTATCACCCATGCCTGGCACACAAAGCTGACATGCATTCTAACAAAAGGCGTAACGTGCTTATCTAGCCAGAGCTCATAATGTGGTAGAAAAATGAGACCGATTCCACTTTGGAGCGGAAAGTGGAAACACAAGCTCCTTTCAGTAGCAGAATCAAACTACCACCTGAAAAAGGTGAAACACCAGAATAATGAATTACAAAAACATGTTGCCCTTTTAGGCAAGTGATTATTCAGCGATAAAGAAGCGCAGAAAGTTTATAAATGTTTACAATAGTCATAAATGTGCAGTAATGTGCTGCGGATGTCAAATAGCCATTTCATCAAAGACTCCAGGATGCCATTTTCAACACCATGGCTGGGCCAGCTCGCCCCACACTCTCTCAACCCTCTTAGTTCTTAGTTCTCAACCTACCTACCCTTAGCCTAACGTGGTGTGGAGAAAGACTTGGTTAGAAACATGTTATGAGAAATATGAGAAGTTTAACTACTAGAATAGGATCATAGTAGTGATTCACTTCCCCTTTCCAGCTGGCTGCTCTTCTGCTCACCTGTCACCTTACATCACAACACAGAGTTGTGAAAGACAGCAAATGGTTCTTTCCACTGAATAGAAAATCCCGTAAAAACAGATTCCTCTTACTACAGCGGAAAATGGGGTGTCTATTACATTTTGTATATTCTTTTGATATCAATACTCTTTCTGTATTGGGCTCTAGAGTAGTTTCACAGTAAAAACCGATGTGAAGGACACAGCCAGTCCTATTCAAAACCTGCCTCACCTTGTTATAGCTCTTAACTGGAAAATGTGTCACAGTAGCCACACGTTTCGGACTAACTTCCACTTACGACATTATGGACTGAATTCACACACAGAGTGAAGAGTACCGCCTTAAAACAGTTACAACATTGTTTATCACATTCCAAAATTTCAAAACGATGCCAAAAAACCCAATACTATGGGTACCTGAAGCTTCTCCGCTATTGAACTGCTTAAGTAAAACATCATTTCAAACTCTTCTGGTCTTTTAGAAGGAATACAATAGCTCAAATTTCACTTTTCATTGATTTATGTTAGGATGAGAGACTCCCAACATGAACACAGCCCTGACACTGGCACAGGCTTGTTGTTTAGCTACCATTTTTGATAAACATGTCTTTTGTCATTTAGGTGTTGGACATCTGGGATTGAGGACCATAATGCCTTTGAATCCCCCCGACCAAGAGATAATTACATAGCTAAATCATTGCCTAAATTTAAAGACACAGGGATGTTAACAGAGGTGAGCGTCTAGGAAAACCGACTTCAGACATTGCACAGATAATTAAAATGCCCAGTAGAACAACAGAAAACTATTAGTATTTAAGAACATGTGGATATACCCACAACACCCTCTACAACAGGACACCTGGCGACCCCTGAAGACACCCCAGACAAGGCAGAACGGATCAGTCCCGTTACACGAGGCTCCTAGGTTCCAGACCGACTCCAGTGTCATTCCGATACGGTCATGATGCACAGTTTTAGGAGTCCCAGTTCCACCTGCCTGGCTCGGGGCACAGCAACAGACAATGCTAAATGTCAACAAGACAAAACACTGACCCAGTGAGGCTTGAAATGTACGATACACTTTGATATGCAGGTAATGAGACACTCGCACCCTGCAGCATGGGAAAACGATACTACAGCACGGAGGTCGTTCTGCCATAATAAATTCATACACAGGCGCTGTGCCGTCTTAGCACACCTGGGAGTGTGCTTCTAAAAAAAACCCAGTGATAAGCCTTGGCTCTCACTAAAGTGAGAGTGCACTATTTCCATAAGCTGATAATCTTGACAGAAGATTTAACTTGAATTCCTACGCCCATGTGCTGAACACCACACAATCACAACTTTCTAAAGCAAAAAAAAAACAAACACTGAAATGGAAAGTTCCCTTGAAATATCCCCATTTCAACAGGGTTTCTAAAACTTCTGCTCCTACCACATTTCGCTGAAAAACAACACCGAGGGCCCCCGACACCGCCGCGTACCAACCCACACCACGCGGAACACAAAGCAGGGAACAGAACTTGCTCCGTCGTAAACGAGACATGAATTTCTCGCCTGTGGCCCTTCGCGAGTCGCCACTGCTGCCCGGCAGCTCGTGATCCCACCCGGACCCCGGTCTCCGCGGCAACCCGTCCACGCCAGGCCCTGCACTCACCTATGAAGGGGATAGACGCCAGGGAGTCATCCGGAGGACTGGAGCCCGACGCCCTGCGCTGCTCCCCCAGCCGCTTCATGTTGACCTCCCGCCGCGCGTCGTTGGGCAGCCAGCAGGTGGGCTCGGCCGGGGGGCCGCCCTCGGGCTCGTTCACCGCCAGGATGTAAGACGGGTGCCGCAGGGGCTGAGGCGTGTGCCTGCCAGAGGGGGGCTTTTCGCGCAAGACCACCGCCAGGCCCTCGGCCGCCCCGCTCACTTCGCCCTGCTCCTTCCCACCGCTGTTCCCTCTGAAGGCCGCGGAGCAGGACGCAGGCTCCCGCGCGCCATCGGCTCGGGCCCGCGGCTGCAGGTGCGGGGCAGCGTGGGGGAGGTGGCCGCCGGCGACCGCTCTTTGGTCTTTGAGTGCACTTGAGCCGCCGGGACCCTGGCCGGCGGGCACCGCGGACGCGGCGTAAGGGGAGGGGTCCGTGACGGGGGTCTTGCCCACAGCTCGCGAGGCTCTGTCCACAGCGTGAGGGGCGTCATGAGGCAGACTGTCTGCCCTTGAGGTGTGCAATTGTTCTGTACCTTTCGGAAAGGGAGGGAGGACAGAAATTCCCCTGAAACTGCCCCCGCCCATGCGGATGTCCGGGCTGTAGCCTGTCGGAGTCCGGTGGGGTGGGTGGGCAGTCCGCACGGAGGAGGACTGCCTGCTGGGCTGCCTGGCCCCCTCGTAGTAAGGCAGGGGTCTGTCCTCCAGCTCGGCCCTGCCGCGGGTCTGCCTGTCCCCGACCCGCCCGGGGGCTCCCGCCACGAAGCCGTCCCCTGGCGGCGTCTCGGTCTGCCTGCCCAGGTAGTCGCAAGAGCGCGCGCGCGGCTTCGGCGGCCCCGCCAGCGGCGAAGTGAGAGCATCCTGGGAGGCACTCCTTGGCCAGTCCTTCAGGGCGGCCGCCTGCTCGCCCCCTCCGAGACGGTCCTGGGAGGCGCTGCGCATGGGCGCGGCCGCCGCGTTCGAATACGCCCGGTCGTGAGACGTGCTCCTCCGGCGGACCTGTACGCTTCCCACCCCCCACGGGCCGGGGGCCGCCGCCGCCTGCTTGTAATCGGCCGAGTTCTGGGAGGCGGCCCGCAGGCTGTCCAGCCGCTCCTGGATGGTCCGGCAGCCGTACATGTGCAGTCGCTTGTTGTCGATGTACTCCTTGTACGTTTTGTAATTCCGCCAGTCGATGTGCTGGTGGGCTGCAGGCGAGGTAGAGGAGGAAGAGGAAGAAGAGGGGGAGTAGTGATTCGGCCCCGCGGGAAAGGGGTCGCCAGCAGCGGTCAGCGCGGGGCCGACGGAGCCCGAGGGGCCGTCGGGTGACCCCGGGAACTGGACCGGCCGGCCTCCGGAAGGGAATAAAGGAGACTCCGCTGCCCTGGACAGGGGGAACTGCTTCTGCCCGCCCGAGGAAGATGGCGCAGCGGGCGCCCTGGCCTTATCGGAGCCGTACCGGTTCTCCTCGGTTCTGTGAGGGGGCCCCGCTCGGCTCGCCCGGCCTCCCCGCTCAATGGCCTCGGGCGGCACGACGACAGTCCTGATGGCGTCCTGGTACACGCACACCAGGGCCTTGGTCTTGGGCAGCTGCGGGGGCGAGGGGGGCACGGTGATCTCCCGGCGGTACCCGAGCTCGGGGGGCCCCCCCGGGGCCACGGCCGGCCAGGCCGCTCTGCCTGCCGGCCCACTGCCCTGGGGCGCGCCCCGCGCCGCCTCGGGGGACGGGGAAGCATCGGGGACCTGAGCCATCACGGCGGGTTTAACATCTATCCGAGGATAACACAGAGGAGGGGGTTCCGGGATGTTCTGGGCATTCCCGCTGTACGCTTCGTTGCCCTTAAGGTACGCATCTTGGGAATACGCCTGGAAAAGACAAGGCAGGTCAGTGGCGGACTCCTCTGCATCTCGGGAGGAAAATACCTTGAACGCTGCACAGTCACACTAAAAACGCCAGTCGACATCAAAAGCCCCTTGACATCTCCTACTACTAGAACTCCAACAGAGGGAAAACAAGGGCCTTTTTTCTCGAGGAGCTGAAACATTTAAAATGTCAGTTCAAAAATTTACCACTTCACTTCATACGTATGGGATGTGCACAAGGATCCGTACAGTCCGCGCTGTGAAACACCGCCAGGCAATGTACAAGGAAATCAGATAAAAATATCAAAGGAGAGCAGCGAAAACAAAAAACGCTCGACCATTTCAGCAAAGCTTACAGCAAAAATATACAACAGCAACAACATTTTAAATGAGAAGACGATTCACCTTTAAAAATCTCATGATAAAATAAGGCTGGCGCCATGATATCTTAAGCTTCACGTTCTGTCAAAGCAACAGATGTGAATTAAAGAGCAGAAGTACGCCAAGCCAGAAGCAAAAATAACTGGTAAGCATCTGACAGCAGCGTACCTACCTTTCGCTTCAGAGACCGTTTCCTCACACATACAGCAAAAGTAAAAGAGGGATGTTTTCCCACACAGCCCTTGGTGACAAACGACACTTCAGTAATCATCTTGAATTAACGTAAGACTCCAGGAAGATGGAAGTGAAAAATTAACTTGGCTGAAGGAGAAATGAAACATCTCTTGTTCTTCAGTCTATCCAGAAAGCTGCCTTTACGATGCCACTAGACTGCCTTATGCTCTTGCGCAAAAATGACAGGGAAAATATTAAGCAGGAGAGTTTTATGCACTTTACCTGTGGCGTCAAATTGCATTTCCTGTACAATTCCAAACATGTCTGATGATCTTGCCCCAGTGTCAGTCCCTCCCTTCTATTTGCATCAGCGTGGCTGTAAAGCAATAGCTCACAGCCGAGGCCAAAGTACTCCAGAGGAGCATGATACAGAAAAAAGGGGCGAGGCACTTCAAACACGCCAGCAGTAAATGTTTGGTGTGTTGTCAATCGATCAGCTATCAAACAGGTACCACATCAAGAACAATGCACAAACCATGATGAAACTAAAAGGAATAATGGCAGTTTAAATCAAAATAAAAATCCACAGAGCAGTGTCATGGTTTGGGTCCGATTTGTTTCAGCACCAACAAGATGAAAAATGGAAATGAGATGGGAACTGACAGGTGAAAACACCCAGCTTTATTTTCCTTCTTACCAGAGCTGTGATATCCCTTGAAAACTGCAGCCAGTAGGGCAGGCAGAACCATAGTACGCAGAAGCAGGGAGAAAGGAAAGGAGAGTAAAAAAAAAATACAGCAAGCTGCTTACTGATGCAGAGAGAGAATTATTCTGTCATATTGATGCTGGATACGAGAAGCTAAAAATACATCTTCTCTGAATTTGCTGGAAGGTACCATTGAGGTAAAAGGGCCACGTAGCAGATGAGCAGTGGAATAGTCTCATGTGAACACTCCCACCTGCTTCTCCCCGGCATTTCCCAAGCCTTGAGAAAACCTCACAGCTAGCAGGAGCCCACCTGTGCTGGGGGTCTCGTCTCCACAGCACCAACGGCAAGCGGCAAGGCTACCGGCTCCCGCTAACACTCCCGCTCCCTCTCTCTCTCCCTCTCCTCGGCTAAGCTGTTCCCATTCAGATGACGGAAGCAGCAGCTGCTTGATTATACATTCAGTTCAGATGGTACGGCCTCCACCAACCCCCCCCCACCCCCACCCCTCGGCAACGATATCGACCTGACCAGAACCAAGAGCTGTCAGCTGACTGCAGCTGTTTTTTCTCCTCCTCCTCCTCCTCCTCCTCCTCCTTCATCTTCTTTCCCCCTACCACCCACACCACAGTGCTCAAATCCAAAGGCTGATGCTTCCGGAACCTCTCCTGCTGTGCGAGGATTTTTCAGTTCACATCCATTTTCTACTCCACTGGAAACTCTTTCACAGCCCGCTGCATCCTTACAGCCTAATTGGCTGCACCCTGACACCCCCTTGCCTGCTGCAGTCAGATCAGGGGCTCATTACAGGGACAGGACAGACACCCCCCACTCTCTTCGCGTCTCGCTGATAACAATGTGAGCGAGCTGCCATGATAGCAAGAGACGTGTTGCATATTCTGGTGTGCAAAAAGGGGGTGGAGACAAACACATCATCCCTTTTGACTGACTTCATATGAACAGGCCCGTATAATATGGCTGGAGAATTTCTCACGACATCAGCAGCAGTGAACATGCCAAGTCTGACTTATTCCTGGTAAAATCAGAAGGTAAACTTGACTTGCCGGGGACTTTTTAGGTCAGGAAGTTTTAAAACCAAAACTCATTCATGGCATGTTATTTGAGGTCATCACGAGTACATTACCACAAGGGATTCAACAAACTCCAGAAATAAACCTCTTTTTTCAGTATATAATAACTTGAAATTTTAAAATAGCAGATTCTTCCAAGCTCCCTACAGTCAACAGCGGTCACTACAGAAATTGCTAGGAGCTGCAGTTAATACACAGATCTGAGTACAGGCCTAGCTCACAAACAGTATATAGAAACCGTTCGGGATGGGCTATTAAATATGCTCTGATGTGAAGCACCTGGATTGTGTATTTCCACAGTGAATTTCATATATAAAAGGGTAAATACAACACTAGTGTACAGTATGAGATGCATAAACTACTGTAGCAATATATTCATAACCCCTAATGAAATAGGAACAAAATGCATTATGTAACGGATTGGCTAACATAAAATATTCATGCCCGCTGTGGAACACAGCAGGGTTTCTATTTTAAAACAAGCAGAATTATCGACCTCAACACATTCCATAAGACTGTTTGTTTAAAACACTACCTACAGAGGTGTGACTAAATATAACCCTAGTGTTTTCTGAATTTATGACAATTGATGTTTGCTCTGTGCAATGCTGTTTAGATTACTGTACAAGCATTACATATTATTCAATTCATAACTCATTCTGGACTATGATGTTTTTTTTGCTCTTATTTCACAGAATTTATTAACGTGTAACTTGTTGTTCAAGTTTCTCTACTGCCTCAGCTTTTAACTATGTTTTGCCAGCCTTCAAGTACTTTTCCACAGTTTTTATCAATATCTAGAATAGGCGGTATATGTTACATTCCACTTATCACAACACTCCCTGTCCAGATCAGGATATAAAGATATACTGTATGCGGTTCTCTGTGAGAACGTGTTATTAGGCCGGATGCCTCCTTCACCACAAACCATGAAAAACACCAACCATACAGTTCACACAGTTCAGCCTTTTGGTTACCTGCTAAACCACACGGATCACTGTTGTGTAACAAGTTGAGGGCCTCCCTCATGGCTAAACCCATCTCTTTGAAGGAACCTGTTACAAGTACTTTCATGCTAGGACTCCCACGGTCGAGACAATATCACAAACTAAAGGCAATACAGCATCTTTTAACCTGTAGTGTTCACAAAACATATTGTTATTGCACAAGTGAAACCTACACGTTCAACTGGTAGGCAACTTAATTGTTGGCTAAACATTTAAACCAAAAAGGGTCACTGACAGACATCTGTTTGGCTCAAAGGCATAAAAATTCTGCTTTGTGATTTGATTTCTTTTTCCAAAATAGTGTTGGTGTTATGTAATAAGCAATTCTAACAGAAGCACAGCTCATAACTTGTTAACTTTGTATATGTTTATCTGTTCAGAAACTGACCTGCTGTGTGAAAGGGTTCATTCTCAAATGTGTTTTGCAGGAAGACAAACATCTGTTGTACATTTTACAGAACATCTCAAAGGCATGGAGAACCACTGCCAACCATTTTTCCCTGTGAGGAAATCTCTGTACAAGTTGTAATGCATGTGCAAAGGTCTCAAGTATAAATTCAGGTTAAAAATACATGCATTAAGGGAAGATGCTCTGTGTGTTTTGTGTTCTCGTTACAAAATATTACTGAACTGCGCTGTGACTTCTTGCAGTACAGCAGGATGCGGATCTCATGTGACCCTCACCTGTATGGTTCTGCGTGTTATAATATTTTATTAAATTCTCACATTTTATTTTTAAATATACCATTTGAACTTCAACTGGATTGGAGATCTCGGAGGAACCAAGTGGTCTGACACTCACTAAGAGAATTAAGGTTTAGGGGCAGTCTGTCCTCTTCTGAATGAGCGTCATGGAACCTTTAACATCAACAAGAACAACCCTCATTTTCTCTTTGGAAGATTCCCAAAGGGATGATGAGAGGGATGAAGATCTACTTTTCTAAAATACTTTCCCATTTTGCACTTACACCCTTCATGAATTGAGAAATGATATAAAAATTCCACGCTCTTACATTTCCAAGGCACCAAATGCCAGGAATGTAGGTGGTTCTTGCATTATTTAGTAATAATAACTTCAGAAAAAAAATATTTTGAAGAGAAAAATCTATTCACTTGATTCAAATTATGAATAGTTATGCCCCAACAATAAAGTTGAACTCACACCAAGAATCATGCTGCTGCTCCATCCAACCAATGGATGAAGACTTGATCACAAATTACAAATCTCTTCAAAAAGAGTTGTAATTATTTCTATTTATTGTACTTTAAATTACATTAAATGTATAAATAAGAAGGCTCCACGGCCAAAACGTTGTGTTCTCTTTCTTCTTTTTTTCAGCATGGAATAAACCTATTACTTGTTCATAAATATGTATATACCCATATCAGAACTGCTGTTGAGAACATCTCATTATTCCTTATGGCTAGTAATTCCTCTAAGTAGTTTTGCTATTAATTGCATTATTTAAGAATGTAACCTAGACTTATGAGTAACTGGACCCTCTTACTATATTTATCGACAGGTGAAAAACACAGTCTAATGTATGGTCCCTAGCCCAACTCTTTTCCATTAACTCTTAAGAGAAAAGACTTCTGCTTTAAGTCACATGGGCCACGTTTATGCTCTTATGGTCCAGAACCCTCCAGATTTACACTGCTCTTATGGGGGGAAAATTCCCCTCCATTCTTGTGATTTTCTGGCCCCTGAGCCCATGTATAACAGGATTGCCTGTATTAACAGAAACATGTATCCTGTCAAATATCTCAAAGTTAAACAGATGAAAGGATGAACAAATCAGGAGATTTCTGTGACGATGGGTGATATACGTGACGAACTGTGATATAAGATAAGTTAACGGTGGGATTAAAATTTTACTGTAGCCCTTTTCTCCAATAGGTAAATAATTATACAAAAGTCACTCAAAAGTAATTTGCCACATTAAAAAAAAAGTTTACTGATGTAAGACTTAAAAAAAAAGTTATGCACATAGCACATACAACCAATAAATCTGCAAACTATGAGTTTAAAATTCCTTCATTGCATTGACAGAGAAAACTGGGGGCACTGCTGTCTGGGGGGCCTTTGTATGCCTGCAAACACGTTAACAAGTTAACTTTTTCCAATTACCCACTTTTAGAATTAAAGAAGTGTAATTCATAGGGAATATCCACCCACACGCTTCAAGGAATGGCCCTCTTATCTTTAATGCACTACCGTACTTCAGTGTGGCCTCACGCTCAACAACCACAACCACGACTGCCCAGACTCTGTCCTGCTTTTGTTCCAAGCCGTTCGGCGTCCTGTTACAGAGAACACCAGCTACAGCACCTTGACAGGTGCCCTACAGAATCTGGAAGAAAACCATGTACACGCCCCTGAGCCGAACCATCTGGCCCTGACAGAGAACACTGGGGTCACGAGGGGATGTAATGCTTGCGTTGCATATCCAAAAATATGCACAAATATTTCCATCTCATAACTGAAATATCACTCTGCTTCTATCCAGGTCAATGTTATACAGAACTGCAGAAATATTATGTGCAGTACCAGAACAGTCTCAGCTAAAAACTCCAGCCCTCAAATTTCTGTTCTTGATCTCTCTGCGCACTATGCGTCTGAGAAGACAAAACAAAATCCCCTTGAAAATGACTCCACAGCAGGAGTCTCAGACTCCCAAGCAGCTTTGGATAAAAACCATCAGCAAAACGAATGCTGTAATTATCAGAATTGATATTTTCATGTATCTGTGAAGACTGCTATGCAGGTTAGCACAAACTACAACCACATCTGTGATTATTGCATTTGGTTTGCTATCCTTTCTATCAGCTATGTAAAGTAGTCTATAAACCTGCACAACCAGTAAGAGTCCGCAAAAAAGCATCTCCCACTGGAAAAAAAAAGGTTTTCATGACAAAGATAATTTTTCCTACTTCTAAGTGGATTTCTTCAGTGCTTAACAGACAAGCAAGACTGACCGTGTCCACACCACAAATTCTGGCTTTGGTGAATCATTAAGGAACTTTAATCCTGTTAAAGAAAGCAGTCTGACAGACAAGAAAAACAATCAATTCAATTTCAGTTCCTCAATAATTAGGTAAGAGGGAAGCAGGAAAGTGAGGACTTAATTAGTGGAATACTGTCAGTCTATCTGACAATTTAGAATAAACCTGATGTGTTTTCTGATGAGCTCAATAGTATCAACTATACAGGTGTATATAAAGTCTGCCCAGGATAGACTACAAAAAAAAAGGTAAACTGAAGATCTATGAATTCTCTCATGGGCCAATTTTATTCGATGTAGAGCTTTAAAGTAATCTGCAACACCAGTTCCTGTTTTAGAAGCAGGAACTAACGCTTAGATCTTGGGCACGTCCTCTAAGAATGAACACTAAATCATTTTCATATGTAGGGTGTTGGTGAAAGGAATTCCGATACATGAAGCTGGAAACTGGTACCCGGAGGTTTGGCAGCAATGCAAACTGCACGTTTTCTTTACCAGTGACCTTTTCACAATATTAAAGCAAGGACCACTGCACTCAAGAACAGCTTCTATCCCACTGCAGTGCGCATCCTCAACAGCTAACTGCAGTGCCTCAATACACAACCACACTACGCACTTTTTGCATGGTCTACCATGTTTCACTACTATATATTTATTTTTCCACAACATCTATTGCTCCTGTTGTCTACAGTGTGTGGTGCTGTCTGTTGAACTGTGTACGTCCCGTGAGATCAGTGCGATTAAGAATTCCAGTGTACATATGGCAATAAACTAGTCTACTCTCTCTACTCTTTCCCTCTTGACAGAACTAACAGAGCACAAGGAGCAGAGATGCCCGGTTGAGCAGTACACTGACCACCGCATTGGTCAAGCCAGCTGTGACAATGTGGGGAGACATTTCCAGCACCTTTGGTGCAGATTAAGAACCCCACAGTCCAGGATGTGTTTAAGTTCTTGACAACGGCAATTTAATTCCTGCAGGCCAATCCTGAAGAGCTCATTCTTCAGCGGGACAAATCAAGACCGTGAAGATGACAATGACATGGCTTTAAAACTAACATCTTGCAGTGGCCACCTTCTTCCTCTGACCAACTCACCCATACCAAGAGGAGAACTGCCATTTGCCAAACTTTGCCTGCTGCATAAGAAGAGAGGAGGAACATTTCCGCAGTCTAGAAATGAATTATGCTGCCAGCACTGTGTTAATGCTCAGGGAGCCGGTGCAGATTTCACACAACCAAAGTTTGTATCTTGACCCATCTTCTGTTCACAGTGTCATAAATTGTTTAAAAACACTGCATATTCATGAGACCTGATTGCTGGGTTTTCCTTTGTGCATTAGAATGATAGCAGAATGAAAATAAGACCCTTCACTGTGTTGAATGAGATCAAAGATGCTCAAAGACCCTATTCTGCTGCTAATTGCACAAATAAAATACAATTATCAAATGAATAATAGTTTATGGCTTAGGAGCAAAAGAAGTAGGTATGAGTCAAGGCACATCCACAATGTTCACCATACATATTTCCTTTTAGCTTCCTTCAAAAAAAACTTGCTAATCTAGTTTACAAAGAAGTTTTGACTTTAATGGAAAATGAAGGTCAGCCATAAACCTAAAAACTTTAACTGGCACATAGTGTAGTCCCAAAACTCCTTAACTAACATTAACTAAAATGAAGCAGAAACTGCAATGATACTCATTCATGATGTTCTTAGCCATTATAAAAATGAAGGAAACTGTAGATACAGGGAAAAGAAACTGAACACTAAGTTTGTTTTCTTTTTTAAAGCCCCTGTAGCTGACACAGATTTATTGCAAATTGCATGTTCCTGCAGTTCAAGTGTTATAATTAGGGCATGTTTCTAAAACTTTTCCAGCATCCTCAGCAGTCAGAAGTACTTGTACTAAAAGAGGACATCTCTCTCCTGGCTGTTCTGAAATATCACCTCTTGGGATTTCAAGGTGACTGAATTCATACGTAAAAAACCTACAATACCAAACAACGCACCACAGCTGAATCCATTCTTACAATAAACAAATTCAGTTTATACCACCGCTGATATTTAAAAAATATAGCACTTTTAAAATACTTAACTCTGCAAAAACCAGTTTGTTACATACAGTATCAGTGATGACTAATCAGACACCCCCATCACACACGGCTATGAACTACAAGACAAAATGTGTCCTTAATTCTATTTTTAAAAGATATGCCTGAAATAATCCCCGTGGAGAGAAACTGCAATTTGGGACGAGTGATTTTACACCACACTGCCTACTTTGTGATATTTCCTCACATTGAGAATTATTTTTTTTCATTGTTAGTAACTGTCAGTATACTGTTAGCAATGAAACTGTGGCAATGGCTCACAAAATGTGTCCCCAGAATGTTTAGTATTGCTATTACGTTTTAGACATTGCACAATACAATGAAATACAACAACCCTTCTTGACAAAATAAATTGTCCTTTACACCTTTCATGTTAAAGGTTACAATTTAGCATCCAAATACATTAACAATCCCCAATGTGTTTAAACTAGACACTGCTGGCAGATTTTCCTTTTTCAAAAAAAGCAATTTTGCTTTTGATAAAAAAAACACCGAAACAGAAATTACCAGTAAATAAAAATTCTAAAATCAAGTTATTCACCCTATTGCATTTAAATACTTGCAATCTATATGGAGCAGAAACAAATTTCTGTACAGTGCAAAAATCTCTTTGGGAGTCTTGCAGCTAAGACTGCAAGGGGCTGGGCTCTACAGTCCATACATTGCCAGCTCACACCTGTGCCTCCAATTGTCAGCTCTCACTGGGATTACTCATAGCTGACTGTGCATCACCAGTTTTGAGTGGACTCCAGTCAACAAAGGTATGCAACTGCCAAAAAAGGCAACTCCTTGACTTTACTGCACAAGCAGACTTACTGGGTCACCAGGAAGAATCACACTCTCCTGTAGCTGTAGAGGAATGCACAAAACAACCCCTTTGCTGGTGCAGGGGCTAGCTTAAAAAAAGTGCTAATGATAATAAATGATTCTATATAGCGCCTTTAGAAGAATCTTCTCAAAGAGCTTTATAGTAAGAAAAAAAGGCACACAATGAGAGAAGAGAGCAGAATTACACAATAACAACAAAGGTTTGGAGAACAGCAGGAAAGCACAGGGGCAGACAGAACCAGTTAAATAAAAGCCCTTCTAAAGAAGAGCTCAGGGGCATAGGAGGAAAAGGCGTTGTCACCCACAGTATGTAGACAGGCTTGATTCAGGAAACCAGAACTAGACCAAGAAAGGTTGTGAGGTGGGGAGTAGGACGAAAGTAAGGCAGACAGGTACTGAGGTGCCAAGTCCTGTAGAGCCTCACAGGTAAGCGTGAGGATTTTGAAGTCAATGTGAAACCTGACAGGAAGCCAGTGCAGGGAATCCAGGAGAGCAGGTATTATTCTGGCTCCCAAAACTCTGGACCTACTAAAGTTTGTTCTGTGTGGATTTAGATAGCCCAGCGAGTAGGGCATTACAGCAATCAATTCGAGAGAAAACAAAAGTGTTGACTAGCTTTTCAGCCCTAGGTGGCCACAACAGCAATATAAGAATGCCACGCGACATGTTTCAGACTCAGACATGTTCTAAAGCAGAGCTCGTTACAATTAAATCAGAACCACAAATAGTTTTACTTCAACTGTCCTATATAAGCTTTCATATCAGAATGTATGAAAACAATCGTCTTCTCCAAAACAGAATGTAAATCTCAGCACATAAACACTATTCATATCATTAACAAGTAACTAGCTAGTGATTTGTACCATGTAATAGTCATAATTGTTACAGCTCCTAAAAGAAGTTAACTTTAAAGAACACAAAAATAAAACATACTAGGAAGAATACACAGGCTGAAAGCAATGACTGAAAGCATTCACAGCTCTTGTTCTGTATGAAATACAAGAAGCTGCTCAGTAAATTCAAGAACTACTGGTAATGATATTCACGTTTAACCATAGGTGGTAATTTAGCTTACTTATCTACACTTTAAACAGTCAACAATTTAGTATATAGTTGAAAAACAATTTGAAACCTTTAGCCTTCCTGTACTTATGAGATTTTTTTTCAATTAAATTAATCTATATCCAGTAAAGGCTGGAAATAAACACTTCGATGTACTGAAGTACCATACTGTTACTCCAGGAATTGAAATGACACTCATAGGAGGCTACAGATGCAGTTTTACTTGTGACTCTCATTCTGCAAAACAGTTTATAACCAGATTTCAAAGTAAAAAAAAATATGTACTGTTACAGTTGTGACCAAGTATCATATTGGCATCTTAATGAAAATATGCTCTTTTTTTTAAACTTAATTTAGACACTAACCAATTCACCAGAAATGTATTTCTCTACAGGAACATCAGCTTGACCCTGTTACTAGAGAAACTGCACATCAAGAAAGCACTTGGTGTGCAGTTTGTCGTCTTAAAATGAACTAAAAATAAACGTATCAAAACCAGATAAAGATGAATCTTACGTTAAGCAATTTTCACTTACCAGCTGTAGAATGTCTTCATCTTTTGGCATCACACACAGCTCAAGAAACGTGTCACTAAAATTTAACACATCATATAAATTAGAAGATGAAGTCAACATAAAATGTAAACTAACAAGTAGTAGGTTTATTCCATGCTGAAAAGAGGAAAAAAAGGAAACGTTTCAGCTGTGGAGCCTTTATCTGAAGAATGCTCCACAGCCGAAACGTTGTGTTTCCTTTCTTCTCTTTTCAGCATGGAATAAACCTTTACTTGTTCCTTTGCAGCCCACGCATGCTGACGCAGCCACCCACCTGAACCAAAATGTAAAAGGCTCTTTTTTGCTTTGTGGGTTGCTTGATGAGCTCAGATGAAAAAGGATAAGCTTAATATCCGTCTCGGAATCTTTGCTCAGAGGGCTGAGATGATGAAAAAAGAAGGTATACAGCCGGAGTCTATTATGGAATAAATCTGTACATCTCCAAATTCTTTATCGTTTCCTCACATGCCTCTCAGCCTCTTCCACTCTGACTGCAGGCACAACGCGGGTATCAGGAGAACTTAAACACACTTTTGGTAAAAACAGAGAATTGTGTGACGGAGGGGGCATTTAATATTGGCGTTTACTGTGCCTTTGGCCTCGGCGCACAGCACCAGTGAAGAGGCTCTTCGTTCATGTGAAAAAGCAGGGGACGGAGGAAAAGCCAAACGTGCGATTAGAAAGGGCTCTGTGTTCGGGTTTTCACCCCATGCTCAGTGCACATCTCAGGGAACTTAGGAGAGTGTAAAATTGTAAAATTGATTCCCCAAAATGGCATTCAGAAACAATGAATCGACTGGCACTTAAATTGCCCATCACTCATCCAAGTGCTGTATTTATAGATATGAAAAAATAATACTACAGTGACTGAGCAATGTTTTAGTGAAAATGTACAAAAAATGTATTGATAAATACACAGACACGTTTCTATACAATTGTTCCAAAACAGTCATTACAGTGTACAAATGCATAAAAACAATATTAAAAGATACAATACTAAAGCATTTTTACATTGCCAACCGAGGTCTTTACAAAATCTAATTCAGTGAAAGTACAATTTGGATTATGAATTATCTACAGAACATTTTATTTAAGCAAGCTTTCTTACCTGTTCTGAATCAAGGCTATTACTTGGGAGTAAGTCTTTCCAATTATACTTTCTCCATTCACTTTCACAATTCTGTCCCCTGAAGAGAAAAATTAAACCACTTATTAAACTGCAACAACATTTAAATGCATTGCAATTTACGTATTCAGTGAATACAACTTCTAGAATATTTACAGTAGATACATAGCTCAAAGTGGATTGCATTTAGAGTAAATAATGTTCAGCAATTTAAACTGTCTTTAGGAAAACAGGCAGGACTGCATCACAAGATCCTGGGATAGAGACATTAAATACAGTAAACATGTGCTGTGGAAGCTGTTTGTGCTAGAAAGAAAATTGTTAAAATACATATTATAGAATATGCTAGCACCAATTTCGATTAAAACCTCAAGACCCATGTACAGAGTACTATAGAGCTGTACAATGCAATATTATACTATTTCTTGGTAAACTGTACCACTTGAACATTTCTGCATGATGTCCCCATTGCCTGTGCTATAATAAATTCTGTTTTCTGAAGTCAAAAAAGTCCTTAATTGCTGCACATTTCTCTACAGGCCACTGATGGCCCTCAGAAAATAAAATGTTATGGAGAAGCAGAAATTAGCAGATAATTCCAAATGCTTGTGAAAGCATTTCCAAAAACAAAGTGAAGAAATCAAACATACTGTATACTCCACAGCTGAAAGCAGAAAATAAAGTTACTTTAAAAAGCTGAATGGAAACAAGTCTGAGGAGGTACAAACAAAATTGAAGGGATTTACTAAGTCAAACTGAATAAACCCAATTTTTCCTAAGTGTTTTTCTTGCAGGAAAGATATCTGATTTCTGAAAGATGTTTTGTAAGGCAAACATACACTGTCTGGAATCCACCAGTTTGTCCCTTTAAGAAAGGTGTCAAAGTCTTTTCGGAAACACACGTACGGTAATAAAGTCTGTAACTGCACGCTTGTTATTTATTTAGTTCAGGAATACATGGACTTAAAACTATAGTTTCCGAAAGAGACTGGAATGGCTCCAGTTACAGGTCAGTAGAAGGGGACATTGAACACCTGACCAAGGACTGCAGGACTGCGAGAATTCTGAAGTACTCGAAAGCAGTACAAACCTTCCTTTCAGGTTAATGTGTGCAAAAGACAAGTTTATACAATAACAGACACCAAAGCTGGTGTTCATGCTTTCAGCGACTTAATATGATGATTATATTAACATGTCAAAGTCTGAAATAAGTTACAGACAAAACAGAACTAAAGTAATACATTACCGAGATAAGAATAAAATGTGAATGGAACATACAGTATATCCTATTGACAAATGGTGCCTGTTGGTATGTAAAGAGAATCACGATTTCTGATTTCAGACTTGTCACTGTTAGAAAGGTGAAGATCACAAATGAGAACTGGTAACTTAACACTACTGTCTCCAAACCTGTTATACCACAGAGAAAAGAAAACATCCTACAGAGAAACGACTGGTATTTAAAATATTTACAGCACAAGGTAAACCTAGTAGGAATTTAACAGTGAAACCGGTAACATCTGTTTCACTGTTTGCCAAAAAGCTTCCTAGTAGAACAGTCTTATGTTCTCCTATGAAGGAGATAGCTGTTTAAAACGGATGTACATAGGACAAAGGTGTGTTGAATCATGGCTACATTAGTTATTCTAGTAAAGCTGAGCATTTTTACAGCTGGGTATGCTTCAAAAGGTAGAACAGAGCACAGTCACAGAAACCCCATCAAAACATTACAGTAAGCATTTGATCTAATGACAAATGTGAATGTAGTGAAATATCCAAGAGCAGCAGCAACATTCAATAAGAAACCACTTTAAAAAAATGGCAGAAAAGTTAAAATAAATGCGAGTTTGAAGATCCTGTTTACTAGTAACCCTTAGCTCAGATATGCAGGCGAGTTAAAACCCTACCTGTGCAAAGTCCAGCAGTATGGGCAGGGCCTTCCTCCTTCACCTGCTTCACAAAGATGGTATCCATGGGCTCCAGTCTGTTTCGCTGTCTCCCTGCACGACACGGTGATACAGAGTCACTGCACAGGCATGCTAGACCACTTTCTGGCTCACACAAAGCAAACGCACAGGCACAAAACACGAACTTCACTTGAGTTCTCTCAATCAACTTCCGTACAACCGCTGGAAAGTTAACTCTTTAGACCTGTTTTTGTTCTCTTGGGAATGGCAATGAATAACTTCCAGTTTCACATGCATTCCAAGTAAATTGTTCTTCTCCCTTCCTAAGTGTTATTCCTTCTTTACGCCTTCCTTTAAGTTCCTGACCAAGTGAGCCCAGTGGATTTCTTTAGAAACACGAACCAGACGACACAAGTGGAAACTACAGGGAAGGGCTTATAAAACAAGTGCTTATCCTTCATCTCAAGAAAACCCTGATCAACCATCTCAAGAGCATGCATTGCTTTGATAACTCAGACTCGGTATGATCATCCTTCCTATCATCCTAGCAGGTGTACAGTCTTGTTATTGGAGCTCATTTAAGTGTCCCACGGCGCATGCGTAATTGGAAGCGCAGTGCTTAAGACACAAACCAGAACAAGTTATACAACAACTAGTTTATCACACAAGCCAATATAGTAGACCACTGGCATCTCCTTAAGTGACCAATCCCTTTCACTGACTGAACCCCCCAGCTGCTCTGCAGTTGAGATGCATAGGCCAAAGTCCATTAAGCAACACAGAGGGAAAGTGAATAAAAACTGTGAAAGACTGCAGCAGTAAGCAGCACAGAGTGCCCTTTCACTGACCGACATAACCACTCTCCCACCTATACATGTTTTGTGGTATCCTAGTTCAACCACCAGTGGAAGGCCAAACTCCTAGGGCCTCCTTACAATCGTGTCAGCAACTCTGCCACCTCTGTCCAAGCGGGAGGTTGAGCTAATTGCAACACCAGCACTGCACTGAAATGGGGCCGCATGCCTGATGTCCAGTGGCGTGAGTGGAGGGAGAACCCAGAAAGGACTGCTTCCTCCCCGAACCCGCAGATACGCCGACATGACTTTCAACGGGCAATCTGTGAGCGCTTGGACTGGGAGCTGTGGAAAAGTCACCACCTGCCAAGCACCACATAAGAGCTGCTGTGCAAACATTGGTTCAAACCGGGCAAAACCTGAACCCAACTGACATTCAGGCCGCAGGTTCTTTGTACACATGGAAACCTACGTGGATCTAGACAAAAAGTGTTCTAGTTGGGCTAAAATAATTTCAGTCTTGAAGAAAGAAGGCTACATTGACAGTTGATACAGATATTCAAAATTATTTAAAGTACTGACATATTTAACCCGCTGGATATGTTTTGAATCGGTTGAACCCCAACCAGAGGGAACAAAGTGGAAACTACAGGAGTGGGCATTTAAAACAGAAGAGAAGGCACTTTCATTAAAAAGGTTTCTGGGAGTACCGAACCAGCCAAGTTGTCAAAGCCAAAACCCTGGGTTCTTTCAAGAGAGCAACACAACCTCCTTGAGACACATGAGAACCTCCTCTTATTTGTAACCTCTTTCGTTCATACGCTGGGCTGTAACCTAACTACAGTAAACCCTCAGTTTAACAGACATGTGGTGGAAGGGGTGTCTGTTATTGCTAAATATCCGTTAAATCAAAAATGACATTCTTTCATCCCAAAAGCATTGTGCATTGCTTTGTACACTGTACAAAAGCATTGGAAAACATATATAACATGCATATATATATATATTCTTTCTCAATCTGTTGACTTGTCATATTTAAATTGTTCCTAATTACACAAGCACTTTGTTTCATGATGTTAATATACTGTATATAACTTACTAAAGCACATAAAAAATATCTATAGCAGTAAGCAACCCCCAATAGAGCATCACTGATGTGAATTTTAAAACTATGCAGTATTTAACATATTTTTTATTTATTAATTTCCCCATTATTGTGTGGAGACGTTTTGTATTTCTATCAGTTAAAACCAAAGTCTGCTGAACTGAGGGTTTAATGGGATGTGATTTTTACACCATGGAATATCATTACAAGAAGGCACAAGTGTCTCAAACAAACGCAATTAAAGAATTTTAATTGACCCCTTATTTTTTTGTGTTTATGCCTCTGGAACGTATGCATAGCAAGATATTGGAAGCTTCATGCATGTGAATTCACTTTAAAACTACTAAAAAGAGCTAAAAATAAAGTTACCTGTATGGACAGGCACCCATTTCAAAGCCCCGGCAAGGTATGATACCACAGCAGAACCCTTCAGCACCCCTGTGCTCAAGGGATAGATGAATCACCCATCCAAAGGCAGAGACAAGGCAGCAGGTACAGTTTTGCTGCACACAAGTTGTGCAATGGGTTCCTGGACCCACCTGACTAACCTGCAGGGGTAGGCAAAGGAGGGAGAAAAGGCGAGCTAAAGCATTATCTACACACGTCAAACAAGAAAGAACAGCTATCTGAAAATGTCTCTTCTACACACAAGCTGGAGTGTCTCCAAAGTTTGCAATAACTGCAGTATTTCCTTGATTTCCTAGATATATTTAGAAAATGTTTTCTTAATTATCCCTAAATTAAACATTTGGAGATCATCATTTAAAAAACAATCATTTAAACTCTGACAGAGGCCTAGGACAAGTCCAGGTAATTAAAACATGTCTATTGATCGTTCTATCAATAGCAATGAGGTTAATTTCTGTAACAACCCAGCTTTGTACAGTAAGAACTAGGAGCACCATGACTGTTGGACTAAAGAAGGTTACCTAAATCTACCCAGGATGTATTTTTGGTTTGTATCTTGTAGCCGTGTCACAAAACGGCTCCCTAAGGAAAAGAGCATACCACAGACAAAAGTCCAGGTACACTTGGCCAGATCTACAGTACATTTAGTGTTCTGTTGCTATATAAAAAATGCTTTGCAATGATTTGAAACAAAAGAAAGCCACTTTCTGGCCTGCAATTATATAAAGAGCTTAAACTGGAGAAGTTTTTGTTCAGGAAACAGAAGTCCATTAAACCAACTGCAACTGCATTTGACAATTTTACTATATGAGGTTACAAAGGGGGACATTCAGCCAGTTTGGTAGCAATTAGCTAATTGTTTCAAGGATCTCAAGAAGTTTTTTAAAGAAAGCAGCATATCAGCATTTACAAAAAAGGGTAAGCAGGTTGTTCCATACCCCCACAGCCCTTTGTGTAAGGCGGTGTCTCCAGTTCTCAGTCTTAAATGCTCTCCCATTGAGTTCCCTGGCTCCTATTTCACTCCCATTATGAAGACATCCATTGGGTTGACTGTTAATGCTATTGAAAAGTTGCAGACTAAATTCAGACATATTTCTTGCACATACACAAGGTTAAAATATTACAGCTTCATTATTTTATGGAAGTATTAGAGTATTTGCTGTAGCTATGTACAGCCTATAGGAAATAAAATACAGCCAATTTCCATTAACAGCTGCAGTAACGAAGGGCCTCCTACAAGATTTTTAAGAAAATACAAAGAACTGGATGAAAACCACATCATGTGTGAAACAAGCCAACCTGTCACGTACCACATGGCGCTGTAGTGTATACAGAACAGGGAAACCCCAGCACAGCCGCTGGGTGAACTGAGCTCAGCAAATGCTGAAACCACACAAGAGTGTCTGCTGCTTCTCCGTTAAAGAGTTTTTAGTCTATTTGTGTAGGACATTCATTTACATCCATGAAATGAAAACAGAGGAGTAACAGCTTGGAATGTCATGACCAATCATGTACACATTATCCGAAATGAAATCTTACCAGATCATTTAATTCCGAGTGTTAACATCCTGTTTTGCCCTTTCTGATGTTTCCCTGCATTGTCTTTGTGAGAATGTGCCAACGTAAACAACTCTTCATACGGAGTTTGTTTCTGCTTGCAGCAAATAACACACTCTGCTCTCCACTAGCCTACATTAAATGTCATCTGTCAGGCCCAGAATTACACAATAATTTGTCTTTCTTTATTTAGGAAGTGTTTGGTAAAACTGTTATTTCTGTACCTGTGAACTTGACAAATCTGGATCGCTGATATGTAGTGAAACGCCTAAGCACTGGGACAATTAAGAAAACAATCATTTTTACTTTGTACTAATGAAGTTTGTATTTAAGATCGAAACATTAATAAGAGGCAAAAACACAGGTAGTGCAGTGGTCCCTGTGGTATTCCAATAG